GGGCAAAGATAATAATGATTCTTGTCACAGAATCATTGTTAATGATTGTTAATGGTCACTGAGCTGAAGCATTAGATAAACGCTCGGAATTTAGCTGCTATTAGGGAGCCCTGTGTGGTAAGCATGTCTTTGCAGGACACTGCCCAAATGGAAGTGACCGAGGCCTGGCAGCTGAAAAGTGCTTTTTCTCCACTCTGTTTGCTCCGATACTATTGTCATCTAGTTGCTCCTGCTGTAAGATGCTCATTTTAGAAACATAGTTTGTAGAAATAACCATTGTTTTATTATCATGCTGTGCTGTGCGGTGGCTAAGTCACGTCTGACTCTTTGTGACCCCATGGACTGTGGCCGCCAGTCTCCTTCCTCCGCGGGATTTCCCAGGCAGGGATACTGGGCTGGGTTGTATTTCCTTCTCCAGGGGATCTGGCCTCTGAAGAGGTCAGGATACAATTTAATTTTTATTAGGTTCTACTACATTTAAATTAAAAAGAGAAAGAAATAGCATAATTTCTACTTATGGATGTACTTTCACAAATATATTTCCCTAAAGGAGACCAAAATGCTAAAGCAAAAAAGAAAAAAAACCTACTGCTATAAGCTGATGAAAAATTATATTCATTTATCTTTCATAAGATTAATACATTTTAAACATTTGTATAAAGGATTATAATAAAAATGGTTAAAAATTATGTTTCCAGTACCCAGAGAGAAATTTGATTTTTAATGTGTTTTCTCCCATTTAAAAATTTGAGGTGTAAAAATAATTTTCTTTTGCAACCTTAATTTGATAAATATTGTCCTAAGGCATAAAGACATTTTAAGCATAACTTTTGATATTTTTACTAATTTTTTATTTTAAGAAATGTCAGCCTTTTCAAGAAGTGCAAAAATAGTGCCGTGAGCACCTGTATATGCTTCACCTGGAGTAACCCGTTTTTAAGTGTTGCCAGGGTAGTTTTATCTGCCTCTACAATTTTATTTTTGTGAGTCCTAAACATGATTTTTAGTGACTGTACCTATTTAATCTTGTGTGTGTATCATAATTAGCCATTCTCTTATGGCTATTTAGTTTCTTTTACCTTTTTCTCCCCCCATTTAAAATTAGTTTAGTGAGCATACTTGTCAAGTACTATGAAATCTTATTTTTAAAACCATAACCGTATTGCATAGATGGTACAGAAGCAAAGATGAAAGCTTGGAGAGTTTAAGTAACTTGCCAAGAAGCAGTGGAGCTGAAATTTGAATCCAGGTCTATTGGATTCCAAACTCTGTTTTTAGTCATTTCCTAGTACTGCCTGTCTGCCCCCTACTAGATGGTAGGTCTTTTGCAAAATCTTCTGACTTCATCTCTCTGCTCTGCCTGGTCCCCTGTCACTCCTGCTTTTTCAATGGGTCAGTAGGCTATTTTGGCTTCACTTCTTCACTTATCTCCCCGTCTTATTAGACTGTGAGAACCTTTTAGCTGGGTCTGTGTTAGTCACTTAACATTTCTGGTTTCTGGCACACAGTAGCTGCTCAAAAAACTTGGATAAAGAAATAAATAGTTGAAAGTGTCTTTTTTAAAAAACTTACTGGAGTATAGTTGATTTGCACATTGTGATAGTTTCAGGTATACCTCAAAATGATTCAGTTATACATATATTCATTCTTTTCAGATTCTTCTTCCATATAGGTTATTATAGAATATTGGGTAGAGTTAGTAATGCATATTACTAAATCACTCTTCATCACTCTTGCACTAGTATAATTTTGTTAGCAGGATTTCTCATACTGAGCTCAGTGCACACCCACTAGCATTGAGAATTTGAACTTCAGTAAATTGAAGAACATGTTTTTGAACCATCTTATATCCCCATCATTCTTCCACATTTCTGTATCCCATTTTCTTAAATGAATCTTTTTACACACACCATCACTTCTTTTCATAATAAAATATGTATTCATTTAAAAGTTGTGAAATTGAGAAACATAAAAAGAGAAAAAAGTATTAAAACTTCCAAAATTCTGAAACTTTTTTGATTAAAAAAACCTTCTGGTGTTTTTTCATCTTTAAAAGTAAGCCATGTGTTACATCTTTCTTTATTGAAATAATATTTACTGTGGCTATATCCTAAATATTAATGAACCTTTGTAAAACAGATTTTCAAAAATTAAGTAGTATATTCTCTTAAGGAAAAGAAAAAACATACTTATTGTCCAAACCAATATTCTAGGATTCTAAATATAGTCACAGTGAACAATCTAGGACATAAATCTTTGGACACAGCAATACGTACTTGATTTTTTAGATGAAAACATCAGACATACAAATGTTTACATACATATCAGACATACAGAAAACTTCAGATATTAATAGAATGAACACCCACTATCTATACAGATATTTTTATGTATTCATTAACTTCACTTTTAGCGTAGTAACTCCATCTACACATAAAGTGTTTAGAAAGAAACAAATGTTTAGCATCAGAGGAGCTATTTCTATCTTGATATCCCCTAGTTTATGTCAAATGGATGTTAGGCTTGCCAGTTTGTGCCCATGTAGTTTAAACTCTTTCAGATCTATTGTATTTATTCAATTCTTTTTCTTTTTTTATTCCTCTGGGGATGCTTATTTCCTTGACTACAGCATCAAGAACTGGCACAGCTACAGACACAGCTGTGGCTTTTTTAGTTTTAACTAGAAACTCATCATTCACACTTCCTTGAACCCAGCTGGATGGGGTCATGCTTCCTGGTTGGTAGCACTGTGATACAACCGTTTATTTAAGTATATACTGGTGATACACACTGGGTGAAATCCTTATGAATTATCAGATGTTATTTCTATTGTCTTGTGCTGTTTGGAGAGTTATACATTGCTTTTGTGCTTGCTCAGTCATGTCCAGCTCTTTGTGACCCCTTGGACTGTAGCCTGCCAGGCTCCTCTGTCCATGTGATTCTCCAGGCAAGAATACTGGAGTGGGGTGCCATTTCCTCCTCCAGGGGATCTTCCTGACCCAGGAATCAAACTTGCATCTCCTGCACTGGCAGGAAGATTCTTTACTACTAAGCAACCTGGGAAGCCTAATATAATGCTTTCACTGCCACTAATTTCAACAAGGAAAGGAGTAGAAATCATAATGGTAGAAATTTCGTATTTTATTCTTCGGATCCTCTGCTTCTTTGATCTACAAGTTAGATGCTCTCCTTTGTAGTCTGCATCCCAATACTGACCTTGTTTATTGTGCTGGCTATTTGAAATTTCATGTAAAGTATAACAGAAAGAAATTCAGTTCAGCTCAGTTGCTCAGTCATGTCTGACTCTTTGCGACCCCATGAACTGCAGCACGCCAGCCCTCCCTGTCCATCACGAACTCCCGGAGTTTACTCAAACTCATGTCCAGTGAATTGGTGATGCTATACAACCATCTCATCCTCTGTCGTCCCCTTCTCCTCCCGCCTTCAATCTTTCCCAGCATCAGGGTCTTTTCAAATGAGTCAGTTCCTCCCAACAGGTGGTCTTTCTGCCATAAGGGTGGTGTCATCTGCATATCTGAGGTTTTTAAAAGTACATAAATGCTGCATCTTGTGAAATACATCATCTCATCCCCTTACCAGGCAGCTAATTCCAAAAAATTTTTAAAATTAACATAATTAATGTGGTTTCCCTTCTTTATTTAATAGTGGAAAGATTAACCCTGCCACACATTAAAATGTTTGTTTCTTCATTTCTCATTGCTGTTGCTTTTGATTTATTTTCTTGTTAACTTTTAACTTACTTTTTGATTTCATATCTTATTGATATTAATTGTGCATTACCCTTCTTTAGCTATACTGACAGTGATATTGAAGGAAATGGGACAGATGAAGGAGTTTCAGTAGGATTTTAGCAACTACTTCAAAAATTTTATTTATATGTGTATTTTCGATGCTTAGATCTAGGAAACTCTAGGAAAAAAGCAGACAAAATTCTCTTCAAAGATCAAAAGCGGCTATCAGTGAATGAAAACCTTTAAAAATGTTGTCTCCAACCTTTTTTTTTCCCTTTGCATTACATGTAAAGAAATCCATAACTTAGTTGTGTTTTGTGTTTACACATTTCAGGCTCTGTAGCAGCACAATTTGGCACTTCTTTCTCATTTTCCCTGTGCAAAAGAGTCACCTGCACCTTGGAACTAGGAGTCTGTGGGGTGGGGACTGTGCTCACTATGATTCCTGGAGGGCTTGGGGGTGCTTTGCCATTATTTCATTTTACAGAAGTTGTTTAAGGTAGAAGAACGCACTTACCTAGAGCCCACATTTACTAAATTACAATGCCAAGGGCAAATACTGGTCTTCTGATCCTCACATTTAAGACCCTATATGCAAGACAGCAAAGGAGACCCAGATGTAAAGAACAGACTTTTGAATTCTGTGGGAGAAGGTGAGGGTGGGATGATCTGAGAGGATAACATTGAAACATGTATATTACCATATGTGAAATAGATCGCCAGTCCAGGTTGGATGCATGAGACAAGTGCTCAGGGCTGGTCCCTGGGATGACCCAGAGGGATGGGATGAGGAGGGAGGTGGGAGGGGGGTTCAGGATGGGGAACACATGTACACCCATGGGTGATTTGTGTGAATGTATGGCAAAACCCACCATGATATTGTAAAGTAATTAGCCTCCAATTAAAAGAAAAAAAAAATAGTGTCCGTGGTTTCTTTACTCCACTGTTGTTTTTGCCTTGGGGTGACAGCTCTCACAAAGGTAAGAGTTCTGGAGTGATACTTTTGGTAATTCCATACTAAAAGGANAATGTACGACAAAATCCACCATGATATTGTAAAGTAATTAGCCTCCAATTAAAAGAAAAAAAAATAGTGTCCGTGGTTTCTTTACTCCACTGTTGTTTTTGCCTTGGGGTGACAGCTCTCACAAAGGTAAGAGTTCTGGAGTGATACTTTTGGTAATTCCATACTAAAAGGATTTTATGTGAATGATCCTAAAATTTTTGATATGTATTTTTTCTTCCTAGGATTCATACCTGTGTGTAGCCTTGGAGTGGCTCAAGTGGGCAGGATGAACTTTGGAAAGGATGTCAGCACCTTGAAATATTTCACCATCTGTGGCTTACAAGAGGGCTATGAGCCATTTGCCGTTAACACAAATAGGGATATTACCATGTGGCTGAGCAAGAGGCTTCCTCAATTTCTCCAAGTTCCATCAAACCATGAACATATTGAGGTTTGCTTTTTCTTTAAAACTTGGATCATTGGCCAAAACCAGGAGTGGAAGTTCCTACTTAGACAATTACTGTCATTTACTTAAAATGATGCTTCTAATGTGTTCCATTATAGGGGAATCTAAGGATAGAATTCCCTCTGATTTTAGGTACTGTGTGAGAGGCTGATTAGACTGATTAACTATGGTTGACCCTGGAACAACTTGGTGGTTAATTTGCATATAATTTATAGTTGGTCCTCTGTTTCTGCGGATTCAACCAACCATGGATTATGTAGTGCCCATGGTAGTGTTTCCCCTTGAAAATATCCACATCTTAGTGGATCCAAGCAGTTCAAACCTTCATTGTTCAAGGGTCAAGTGTATGTAGTTCTTTTTTTTAATGTATATGTATATATTGGGAATGGCAGGCTCAATCTGAGTATATACAGTTGTAACGTGAAGTTCCCAGATTGTCTTCTGAGTTAGAAGCAGAACTGTGAGCATATGCTTATACAACCATCCCTAAGTTTAATGATCTCGTTTATAAAATCATGCCACGAGTGGGCCATGTCTGGGGTTTTAAAGGTGTGATGCACTTTTAAAGGGGTTTTGAAATCAGGAAGTCAACAGTACTGAGCATCTGAATGATTGTTTCTTCATTTGCTAGGTGACCAGAATAGATGGCACCATAGACAGTTCCCCATGTTTAAAAGTCACTCAGAAGTCCTTTGGCTCTCAGAACAGCAGCACCGATATCATGTTTTATCGTCTGAGCATGCCCATCGAGTGTGCAGAGGTCTTCTCCAAGACTGCAGCTGGAGGGATCCCTGGCACCGGCCTCTTTGGGCCCAAGAATGACCTGGAGGATTATGATGTGGATTCGGACTTTGAGGTTCTCATGAAGACAGCTCACGGCCATCTGGTGCCAGATCGAGGAGACAAAGACAAAGAAGCTACAAAACCGGAGTTTAATAACCACAAAGATTATGCTCAGGAAAAACCCTCTCGTCTGAAACAGAGGTCATTGATATATGCAAAATGATTTTAAAATTTTTTGTAATTTTAATTTTGTAAATGATTTTAAATATGTAGTTATTATGTGGGGTCACAGGAGAGAGAATTAGAGGGTAAGGCATGTCCAAAGTCAATTTGTTCTACCTCTTCTTCCTTCTTTATGTGCCAAGGATTCCACAGAGGAATAAAGCAGCCTGCTTGCCCTCTGATTTGTTAGCACTAACAATCTATCTCAAGAGTTACTTTTCCTATGATTTTTTTTATTGTGACAAAACTAAAATTTGCCATCATAACCCTTTTTAAAGTGTACAGTTCAGTAGTGCTAAGTGTATTCGCATTGTTGTGAAACAGATCTCTGGAACATTTTTAGTTTGCAAAACTGAAACTCTACACCCATGTAACAGCGTTCCCTTCCAACCTATGCTAGCCCCTGCTCATCTCCACTTTTTATTTCTATGAGTTTGACTGCTTTAGATACCTCATGTAAATGACGTCACACAGTTTTTGTCTTTCTGTGACTGACTCATGTAGCATATTGTCCTCAAGGGTCATGTGTGTTGGGCATATGTCAGAATTCACTTCCTTTTTAAGGCTGAACAATATTCCAGTGTGTGTATATGCACCACATTTTGTTTATCCGTTCATCCACTGATGGCCATTTAGAGTGATTCCACCTCTTGGCTATTGTGATTCATGCTGCTATGAACATGGATGTGCAAATAGCTTTTCACAACCCTACTTTCAGTTCCTTTGGATATATAGTCAAAAGTGGGATGCCTAGTGGTTCTGTATTTAAATTCTTAAGGAAAAAAATTATTGTTCTCCATGGTAGTTGTACCATTTTACAATTCCGTCACCACTGCACAAGTGTCTCAATTTCTCCATATCCTTGTCAACCATTGTTACTTTCTGGTTTCTTTGCTAGTAGCCATCCTAAACGGTGTGAAGTGATGTCTCACTGTGGATTTCATTTCCATGTCCCTGATGATTAGTGATGTTGAACATCTTTTTATATTCTTATTGGTTATTTGTATATCATGTTTAGAGAAATGTCTATTCAACTTCTTGGCCATTTTTTTTTCTTTGGTTGGGTGATTTGCTTTTTTGTTACTGATTTGTAGGAGTTCTTTATATATTCTAGATATTAAGCTATCTTCAGATATATGATTATAAGTACTTTCTCCCAAGAGTTAGTTTTTAAGATGTTTCCATTTACAGCATTGGTTGAAGTACTCTATCTTTATATTCTAAATAGCATTTTTAGTATTTTATTTTAAATAGTAGTTTTTAATGGAGAAGAAGGCAAATTGTTTTTGCATCCTTTCTTACAATAAATGCAAATTTCTCTACCTTAGCACTGTTGCCAGTGCTCTGGGTCATATAATTATTTATTGTAAAAGTCTGCCTTGTGCATTGATGGGTGGTTAGCAGTATCCCTGGCCTCCGCCACTAGAAGTGAGTGGCACACTCCACCAGTTGTTACAACCAAAAATATCTCCAGATATTGTCAGATGCCCTCTTGGGGGTTAATCATACTGTTTGACAACCAGTCAAACAGTCAAGTTAATTATACGTCGTTCATGTTTGAGATAGGCAGAACATTTTAAAGTTGCTTATTCCTAATCCTCTAATATATTTCAGGTTTTTGCTTCGAAGAACAAAGCCAGATTATAGCACCAGCCATTCTGCAAGACTCACTGAAGATGTCCTTGCAGATGAGAGAGATGACTACGATTACTTGATGCAAACGTCCACGGTATGAGGTTGCTGCTTTCGTCATTTATTTCTGTTTGCCAATGATCATGGTTTGCATTTCAAATAGTTAGCTTTGATTCAGATCAAACTCTGGTCCCCTGCATTGTAGGCTGANCAGATGAGAGAGATGACTACGATTACTTGATGCAAACGTCCACGGTATGAGGTTGCTGCTTTCGTCATTTATTTCTGTTTGCCAATGATCATGGTTTGCATTTCAAATAGTTAGCTTTGATTCAGATCAAACTCTGGTCCCCTGCATTGTAGGCTGATTCTTCACCATTTGAGCCACCAGGGCGGCCCACTACTGTGCAAGTGTATTTTTAAAATAATTACTCACTTACGTTTCAGGGACCAGAAAGTTGGCAGGCATGTGTTTTCTGAGGTGACTGTTGCTGCTGTTGTTCTGTCACCAAGTCCTGTGACCCCACGGACTGCAGCGCAGCAGGCTTCCCTGTCCTTCACTACCTCCCTGAGTTTGCTCAGACTCGTGGCCATTGTGTTGGGGATACTTTCTAACCGTCTCATCCACCCTCTTGTCCTCTTACTTTCAATTTCTCCCAGCCCCATGGTCTTTTCCACTGAGGCGGCTCTTCACATCAGGTGGCCAAAGTATCGGAGCTTCAGCTTCACCACCAGTCCTTCCAATGAATGTTCAGAGTTGATTACCTTTATGACTGACTGGTTTGATCTCCTTGCAGCCCATTGGACTCTCAGAGTCTTCTCCAACACCACAATTTGAAGGCATCAGTTCTCTGATGCTCCGCCAAAGTTAAATCATAATTGAACTTATGGTCCAGCTCTCACGTCTGTACCTGACTACTGGAAAAACCATAACTTTGACTATACGGAACTCTGTTGGCAAAGTGATGTCTCTGCTTTTTAATATGCTGTCTAAGTTGGTCAAAGCTTTCTTTCCAAGGAGCAAGCATCTTTTAATTTCATGGCTTCAGTGCCCGTCCGCAGTGATTCTGGAGCCCAAGAAAATACAATCTGCCACTATTTCTACCTTTTCCCTTTCTATTTGCCTGAAATGATGGGACTGGATGCCCTATATTATGCAAGCTACTTTAAGAAAAACAGCACCCATAACCCACTACAATATTGTAAAGTAATTAGCCTCCAACTAATAAAAATAAATGGAAAAAAAAAAGAAAAATAGCACCTAATGGCATCCTCAGTCCTGATTTTGCGATCCTCTTCCTTGGTAACATTTTAATTTGCCACCTAAGTTTTCCAACCACCTTGTGTAGTTTCCTTCATCTCAGTGATGTATCTACAAGACCATTTATCATACTTTGTTAACGTCAAGTTGTGCTGTCTGCCATTTAAAAATTTTAAAACACTCCTTATAAAACTCCAAACAGAAAAAAAAAATACGGGAGCTGTGTCCCTTGTAAAGTTCCCGTGTTTCAACTTGACTTTCACATATTAGATCTGAACTATTTCAGAGTGATTTTAAGGAGTGATTTTAAGGATCTTATGTTAGTGATAGCAACATATCACTAAAGCAAAGCATATTTAGGGTATAAAACAATATGAAACAGGTTTAAAACAGGTATGAAAACTCTACAATAGATTAGTGTTCTTGAATAAGCTTGAAGAATTCAAAGCTTACCTGCCTAATGGACTGATGATTTTATTACAGAAACATAATATATATGTATACACACACACACACATGCGTATATACACACACACACACACACACATACATATACATCACCATACATTCATAATTGAAAGTATATTTAATAAAAAGGTTCAGATCATCTTTGCTCATGATAGTCTTTTCTCTTTTTCCCATTACTTCTGAAACAATTTGGGATCTCTGTTTCAGGGCTTTTCTTATTTTGCCACACCAGTCCTTTGTGCCTATATCGTTTTAATTAGGCCAAGTGTTTTTTTTTTTCTGCTTTTAAGCTTTGAGTTTTGTTGCTGTTTTTATAGCTTAATTGAATATACTATTATTTTATTTTTTGTTGAAGTATAGTTAATTTACAATGTTCTATTAATTTCAGATGTACAGCAAAGTGATTCAGTTATACATATATACATTATATTTTTCAGATTCTTTTCCATCCTAGGTTATTATAAGATATTGAATATAATTTCCTGTGCTATACAGTAGGACCTTGTTTTTTATGCATTCTATGTATAAAAGCTTCTGTCTGTTAACCTCAGCCTCACAGCCCATCTCTCTTCAAACCCCCTCCCCCGTAGTAAGCACCAGTCTGTTCTCTATATCTGAGTTTCTGTTTTTGTTTCATGGATAGGTTCATTTGTGTCATATTTTAGATTCCACATATAAGTGATATCATAAAGTATTTTCCTTTTTCTTTCTGACTTATTTCACTTAGTACGATAATCTCTAGTTGCATTGATGTTGCTGTAAATAGGTCAAATGATTTTCAATAAAGACATATCTTCTTAGGCAACTTAAAGACATTGAAAGTCAAAGTTTTGTTTCTTTTTGCTTTGCCAATACTTGGTGTTGCTATCTTGACAGTACTATTACTCAGTGAGAATCTTTCCTGGACAAGAACCTGCCAACGTCTGGGTGGGCTGGATCACATCCGATTTCCATCAGTATGATACAGGCTTCGACTTGGACAGAGTTCGCACAGTGACCGTGACTCTGGGAGATGAAAAAGGAAAGGTGCACGAAAGGTCGGTTTTTCCTCCATTTTTTGTTACATAAATGATATCTAATAAAAATGTGGATAAACCTAGGCATCGTTTTCTCTTGGATTTTTATACCTAAAATAATATTCTATTTATAGGAACAATATAACCAAACCATTAATGCCAGTATCCTTTTTGTTATTCAAACAAGCCAGTAAGGAATCTGAATATATTACAAGTGCAAAATCATAGGAAGTAAGAGCATTGCGTCTCGGGGGTGCTAATCATATGTTCCTTCAGGTGACATTGCACGTGACTAACGGCTTGGGTTGCCATTACTTAGCCTTCGTTCCAGGAATTAAGAGACAGGTGAATGTGAGGCATTTAGCCTGTAGTCTGGTCTGTATCTTGGGAACTGGTTAGGTGGTGGGGAGAAAAACGTGAAGAGAGTGTGGGCTAGTGGTTTAGACCAGATGGACGCATCTGAACTCCAACTGAGGAGCAGTGGATTCTTTCCTCAGCTTTGCCATTGACTTGCTGTGTGGCTTTGGGTAAGTCAGTTACACTTTCTGTGCCATCCTTTCTCATTTGTAAAACAAACGAAACTCAAACCAAACCTTCAAAAAAGTGAAGAAGGCTTTCTTCCTTGCAGAATAAGCCAAAAGGAGACCTGGCCCGTTGTGTCTGCATCCTCTCTGATCTGCAGTGATGGCTCTCATAGAAAGAGCCTCTCTTCCCCTAGAATATTACTCTTCTTTTCTACCTGTGTCATTATTTTTGGTGACTGGAAGCTCCCTCTCCTGCCTTCAGGTTGTAACACTTGAACTGCAGCGAACTTAGCACTCGAGTCAGTGGACTTAGCAAAAAATCCTCCAATGAAGAGTACTGTGTACATCAGTAGGGAGGCCCAAACTACCTGTTTCCAGAGGTATTTTGATGGATATATTGATTTTCATAGATGCAGACAATGAAAGGAGATAACTCAGAATAGGGATGTGATAACATCAGCGGTCCCCAGACATTTTTGTCACTAAGGACCAATTTCATGGAAGATAATTTTACCACGGGCCAGGGGTAGGGGATGGTTTGGGAATGATTCAAACACATTATGTTTACTTGTGCATTTTCTATTATTATTGCATCAGATCCACCTCAGATCACTAGGCATTAGATCCCAGCAGTTGGGGACCCCTGTTATGACGCATCTGAACTCCAACTGAGGAGCAGTGGATTCTTTCCTCAGCTTTGCCATTGACTTGCTGTGTGGCTTTGGGTAAGTCAGTTACACTTTCTGTGCCATCCTTTCTCATTTGTAAAACAAACGAAACTCAAACCAAACCTTCAAAAAAGTGAAGAAGGCTTTCTTCCTTGCAGAATAAGCCAAAAGGAGACCTGGCCCGTTGTGTCTGCATCCTCTCTGATCTGCAGTGATGGCTCTCATAGAAAGAGCCTCTCTTCCCCTAGAATATTACTCTTCTTTTCTACCTGTGTCATTATTTTTGGTGACTGGAAGCTCCCTCTCCTGCCTTCAGGTTGTAACACTTGAACTGCAGCGAACTTAGCACTCGAGTCAGTGGACTTAGCAAAAAATCCTCCAATGAAGAGTACTGTGTACATCAGTAGGGAGGCCCAAACTACCTGTTTCCAGAGGTATTTTGATGGATATATTGATTTTCATAGATGCAGACAATGAAAGGAGATAACTCAGAATAGGGATGTGATAACATCAGCGGTCCCCAGACATTTTTGTCACTAAGGACCAATTTCATGGAAGATAATTTTACCACGGGCCAGGGGTAGGGGATGGTTTGGGAATGATTCAAACACATTATGTTTACTTGTGCATTTTCTATTATTATTGCATCAGATCCACCTCAGATCACTAGGCATTAGATCCCAGCAATTGGGGACCCCTGTTATCTGATTGATGATTTTGGTGTAGGAAATACAGGCTAAGGAAGGTTGTTGAAACTTATGTAGAAAGGGCATAGAAACACGGCCAACTTTTGATTATTCAGAAACTGACTTATCTCAGCCTGTTTACTCTCTTCTTACTGCTTGTCTGCATTTGGCCTTTTTTCTAGCCTCATTCACACATGCACTGTGTAGTGGCAAACTCAAAGCATCTAAGTTTGCCACCATCTCTGATAAAGGTTTTGGTGAGCTTGAAACTCAGGTGGGGTTTATTGTTAACATCACGGATCTGGTGCACATCCCAGCTGAAATCTATCTCTCATAACAGATCCCAGGAATTATCCAGAAAGGGGCTTAATCTTGGCCAAAGTTTACATCTGTTGAGTCATTGATGGCTCGTGTAGAATTGGCCTAGGGCTCTATAGTGTCTGGAAATAAAAAACTATGAGAATGAAAATTACCAATTTGGATGATTATTACATACTTAAACTTTTTTGAACCTCAGAAAAAGGTCCAGTTTGGTTTGAGTTTTTGGAGAGAAGGTGCAGGTCAGTTCTTAACCTTGGTTCCTACCAGTTGACCTGTCTTCATTAGGTGTGAAATTGAGAGACTGGAAGACCTGACTCAGAATGTCCACTGAAGTCAGTGGGATTTTGCTCAGAATCACAGAATCGGGCCCATTGTGCACCTGTCCCATTCCAGCATGAGCTTGTTGCTTGCACAGCATAACTTAGGTTTAGTCTGCCAGACATCCATGCTTACCACACTGTCTTTGCTTGTACAAAGATAAATATGTCTTTTTACAATTCAGCATCAAACGCAGCAATTGCTATATGGTGTGTGCGGGTGAGAGCCTGAGCCCGGGGCAAGGACGCAACAACAACGGCCTGGAGATTGGCTGCGTGGTGGATGCCGCCAGTGGGCTGCTCACCTTCACGGCCAACGGCAAGGAACTGAGCACCTATTATCAGGTGTGTGGTCAGGGATGACCTTGTGCCTCCAGAGAAGAAACCTTTATCCTCGTTAGAGAGGAAAACACATTTTGCAATACCAAAAAGTAAATTAGAAATTATGGGGTCTTCATGGCGGTCCTCCCTGCTGGCTCCGAGGGTAAAGTGTCTGCCTACAATGCGGGAGACCTGGGTTCAATCCCTGGGACGGGAAGATCCCCTGGAGAAGGAAATGGCAAGCCACTCTAGTACACTTGCCTGGAAAATCCCATGGACCGAGAAGCCTGGTAGGCTACAGTCCATAGGGTTGCAAAGAGTCAGACACGACTGAGCAACTTCACTTCACTTTCATGGTGGACCAGTGGTTGAGACTCCATGCTGCCAATACAGGGGCACAGGTTTGATCTCTGGTTGGGAAAGTAGGTTCCCACATGCCCTGTGGTATGGCCAAAAAGAGTTAAAAAAAAAAACAAAACGCAAATTAGAAATAAGACATGAAGACACAAATGACTTGATTCTGTATTTTTACTTCTCTTTGAATAATAACTATGCCACAAGTCCTTCAGAGTAAGCAGTGTATTTCTCCAAAAATGTTCACACAGTCCTGAAATGAAATACTCCAGTTATTGCAAGGGAATATCCATATGAGAGGAAGGAAAAGTCTTTTTCTGTGAAAGTGTCCTGTAAGTGTTATGAAGAAAGTAAGTTTTCTTTGTGTCTCTGCCCTTACTAATATTATGGAATTTGCTTGCTTATTTAAGGTGGAGCCAAGCACAAAATTATTCCCTGCAGTTTTTGCACAAGCTACAAGTCCCAATGTTTTTCAGTTTGAGTTGGGAAGAATAAAGGTAAGAACGATCCATTCCTGTTATTGTATTTGGGTTATTTTCCGTTAGGAAATAGCATTTACTTCTTAAATGAATTCACTTCTTTATTAGTACTGATATTAATCATATAAATCACTCTCTAAGAAAAATGTTGCCATGTTTGAAAATTCTGTAATTCTTGTTCAGGTCACTAGGGTAACATCATTAACTGGAAGGGGTTTTCTTTGGTCATCATAAATAAACTATTCAATAAAACTAGACTTACACAGAACAAATATGCCAAATTATATACAAGTCAGTAATCATTGAACTCACAGGTGAGTTAGTGAATGGGATTGAAAGGCTGGAAATGTGCTACATACTGTTAAGTGCTAGAAGAGTGGCAGGTACTGAGTACTCTGGAAACATAAACGAGAAAATAGCTAAGTAGGATGGTGTGGATCAGGAGCAGCTGAAAGAGCAGGTGACATTTAGGTTGATTTTTCACAGCCTGAACAGCAGATCTTAAGGTACATTTGCTTGGAGAAGGCATTCTATACAGAAGGTAAAAGAATAAAAATTTGAAGGCATGAAAAATGCTGCAGGTTAAGGAATTCAGTGTTATTGTATCAAAGGATGCTTCTGGGATGTGGCCAGAGATTAATATGGATGGAAGGTAGACCAAGTTCCAGTTGAAATATCATTAACTCCCACACTAAGAAGTTGACACCTATTCCATAGACAGTGGCGATTCACTGGAAATTTGAAAGAAGGGACTGAGTATAATCAAACCTGTTTTGGAAAAATATGTTGGTAGTAATATGGAAAACATCTGCTCTCATAAAACTGAGAGCAGGCAGTAATAATTAGATATCACAATTTGATTCTATCCATGTGGGAGAAGAATGATAAGATTCATGAAAGTCATCATAGAGAGAAAATGATACATGAGAAGATGTTTTAGGGGAGAAATTAATTGAGTTTGTCAATAAATTGGATTAAAAGAGTTTGTTGATTGGATTCAGCACTCAAGGAGAAATGAAGAATTTTTTATTTTTATTTTTTTTGTGTGGAGGGAGAGATGTTTCTTTTTTTTAATTACAGAATAGTTGATTTACAATGTTGTGTTAGTTTCAAGTGTATAGCATAGCACAGTGATTCAGTTATACATAAACATATTCTTTTTGAGATTCTCTTTCTTTATAGGTTATCACAAAATATTGGGTACAGTTCCCTTGCTATGTAGTGCATCATTGTTAGTTATCTGTTTTACATATAGTATTGGGTATATGTCCATCCCCAAAGGATTAATTTAAATAATTTTGGTTGGGCCAGACAATGGATACTAATACAACAACAAGCAGAAGAGCCTGCTGAAGTTTGGGGAAAGGAATTTAGCTGAAACTTGCAGTTGTACACACTGCGACGCTGGGCACACCTCACAGTGAAGTTAATGGGCACTGCCATGCCGGCCTGGTTACCTTGGGCATGTTCCTTAAACCATGTGAATTCAGTTTCTGCTTTTGTAAAATGAGATTCCAGCTGCCACAGAAAGGCCAGTATAATATGGGCTAAAGGAATCTGTGACTTTGGTTAAGTAGGAGGGCTTTAGTGACCTTTCAAAAAATTTCCATTAAATGATGGAAGAAGCCATGTTATTTGGTTCAGATTATTCAGTTCATAGTATTCAAGTTTGAACATGAAGGACAGGTAGCAGGTTTGGACAATTGAAAGAAAGTTAAAATTTGACAGAAAAGTGGTAGTTTCTCAGAACCCAGACTCTAATGTTGGTTTATTTGACATTTTCTGTTTTTCACTATAGATTTCACATACTGGATGGATATGTCCAAAACTGGACTGTTGACCATCACTACCCCCTCCTCCTGACCTGCCTGCCTAAGTTCTCCTGTCCTGTCAGTTAATAACTCAGACCCCAAACCTCAGAGTCATCCTTGGCTTCCTTCCTTTGCATTCTGCATCCTAGTTCTATCCCTCAGCAAATCCTCCACCTACTGACCACCATCAGTCCTGCCGGTCACCACACTGTTTTCCATCACCATTATTTCCCATCTGGATTTCTTCAATTCACCCATCATCAATTCATTCAATTCATTTATCATTCAATTCATCATCACCCATCTGTTTATGATAGAACCACCTGAGTGACTGTCATTATTTTAAAATGAAAATCAGATCATGTCATTTCACTGCTCAAAACCCTGTTTCCCTGAATAAAATTAAGAGGTCTCATAAAGGTTCACAAGTTCGAAACCATCTGACATCCTGTTCCCTCTGACTTCATTTTCTCCTAATCTCTCCTCTTTCACTTCACTGCAGCCACACTGTCCTTCGACTCTTCCTCAGATTTGCCAGGCAAATTCCCTCCTTGGGTCCTTTGCATTCACAGATTTCTTTGCACAGAACTTTCTTTCTCTGCATATCCACATGGTTCTTCTTTGGATTTTTCTTTAAATGTCTTCTCAGTTACACCTATTCTGATAATGCTGTTTATTATTGCTGTCCTGCATTCTGATTCCCTCATCATTCTTTTTTCCTCTCCATGACTTCTTTTCTAATAAACTATTTAATTGCTTATTTTGTTTGTTTTATAGCTCTAGTAAAACAATAGAAGCTGTATGAGGGTAGGAAGTTTGTTTTGTCCACTGATACATTCTCAGTGTCTGATACAAGTGCCTTGTTTATCTTCCCCATTAGCAGAAGAGAACAGGAAAGTAGCTTGAGGATGAGGAAGTGTAAATAATGCAGTAGAGAAGGTTCTAGAGGAGAGGGAGAGACCAAAGGTAATGCAGAAAGGTGAGTTCATTGTTTCATTGGTCCAGAAGAGGCAGGCAGGGTGGTATCATGGTCAATAATGAATGAATAAGCTTTGGCAAAGTAGAGACTTTTCTTTCCCTGAGACCAAACTGTAGGAGTTGAGATGGCTGAAGGTATGTATTGGAGGTGGAGGAAGGTGGAGAAAGAAGTTGTGTTGGTTCATACCTGGTTAATTCTCTTTTCTTATTTAGTAGTCATGTTTATCTGTTGAGCTGTCTCTGGTATATTGCTGGTTACTCAAACCTGGCAAACCTGATGATGAGTGGGGTAGTAAGTAGCTTAATGATGAATGAGGTGGGTGACGAAGGACAGACAAGGAGAGAGGAAGAAAGCCAAGTGAATGTGACCAGTCTTTCAGGACCTTTGGATGAAAGCAGCTAAAGCCTTGCCAGGTGTGCCGAGGACCTGGCTTTGTAAAGATGTAGAGCCGATGCATGGATGTACTTGCTTGCTCATGCATCCTCAGCGTGTCACTTAGCATGGAGGAGAAAAGATCCTCAAATTTTCTCTGCTGGTCCTTTCTGGAACAACTCAACCCAACTTGTTAGTTTTTGTATTGATCTGCTCAACACACAGTATATCTTTCATTATCTCTTTCCTGCACAGAACTCTAGTGATCACTTTTTTGACCCCAAGGAATGTGTTATCCATTCATTCTTTTCTGCTTTCCCATTTCCTAGAATGTGATGCCTCTCTCAGCGGGATTATTCAAGAGTGAGCACAAAAATCCTGTGCCTCAGTGTCCCCCACGTCTCCATGTGCAATTTCTCTCACATGTCCTGTGGAGCAGAATGCCCAACCAGTTCTTGAAGGTAGATGTCTCTCGAATAAGTGAACGCCAGGGCTGGCTGGTGCAGTGCGTGGAGCCTCTGCAGTTCATGTCACTTCATATCCCAGAGGAGAACAGGTCAGGCCCTAACATCCCTTACTGTCTAATGGGGACCTATCAAATTAGACCCTGGCCAGGGGCTCAGGGCTGCTGCTGGGGAAACAAAATGGGCTTTATAAAATGCTAATATCATGTGGCAAGGCAGACATTATTTTGCACATTCCAAGTTTCAGTCTGTATCTCAACTCCTTGTTTACTGAAAGAAAATGATTGTATTGCAGCTAAAGGTATGATTTAATAGTCTGTGATTTATTCCCTCATTCTTGGTTTGCTGATGAGAAAACAGCAAGTAAAAATTCAGACAGGTACAGCCACCATCTGAGTTAAGGCAGCTCACTAAGAGAATATCAGAGAACTGTAAGACGGTAGAGGGGGAACCAGAGAAATCATTTCTAAGTGATTTCAGTAAGAACCTAGAGTGTAGATACTCTGTGTTGCTACAATGAATGGATTTATATATTTAAATCATCAGCTAGGCTGAGGGGTGAGGTAACAGTCTTCTTGGGAGACTGAAGAGCTCAGCTAAGATATGGGAATCCTCTACTTCACTTTGAGGGAAGACATACTCAATCATACCTTTCCAAGAGTGAGGTGCTTGTAGCTGGGCTTAGCAGATGTGTGGTTTCCTGGAAGCCAAGGTGATACACGGGTGGGTAATTACTCTATGAGTCAGAACATGGGGTCTGGAATAAGTCAGCACCATCACGTCACAGTGGCCTTTGACAGAATGCCTATGACCTGAAAAGGACATGTACGGTGGATAAGTATGGACAGGATGACAGGGCATCTAAAGATAGTGACAAAGCCTAATGATAAAGAATCACAGATAATTGCTCATTATCTATTGTGTGCTATGCTGGGTGCTGGGTGAATACTAATAAGCAAAGTGTATAATAGCCCCTGTCCTGATGAGATTATATTACAGTCTCACCAAGGGCACCTTTGGAGATGAACGAGTAGTTCCTTGATTATGAATGTACCAAATTTCTACCTTTAATGCTATAGTGTTGTCCCTGAACAATCTATGTAATTTAAGTAGTTTTGAAAACTTAGATCCTTTAAAGAAATTATGTGCTTTAAAAATAGACTCTCTTCTAAAAGGAATGACTTGACTTTAGGCTTATTCTGGCCATATGTTAAAAGTTTAATTGTGCTGAAAGGTGATGATGTATATGGCAGGAGCAAAATGATCTGATGTAAACTCGATTCCCAATAGAAACTTTCTTAAGTGAAAATGTCTCTAATAATGTTTGTTTCATGAGCAGTACATACCTGGTAGAAATAGGGTGGCATTGGTATATGTTTGGGTCTTTGAGGGACACATAGGTAGGTAATTATGTCAAAAGAATTATCCCTCCGTTTCACCTACTGACTGGTGAAATTGACTGACTGGTGACTATTATTAGGGTAATAGCTGATCATAAAGTCAGAGACAAGTCAGCCTAAGGCAGAGTTAGTTTTCTGTCTTCTTGAAGCTGGTTAGCCAAATTGGAAAAGGATTCTGGATTTTCCAAAGAGTGCTTAAATTCTGGGAGGAGGGGAGTCCCCAGGCTCAAACTTGAGACCCAGATTATCTATTAATAAAAGTGATGCCCAGAATCTTGGGGTGACAGGGCATGAAGAAAGCTCCAAGCACTATTTTCAACATAAAATTCTATCTGGAAGAAAATTTTTTAAATATCTAGAATTGATTAAAAAAAAACTGTGCTGTCATCAAACATGTCATAAAAGACTAATTTTAAAAAATTACTGTAGGGACTTCTTTGGTGGTTCAGTGAAGTGAAGGGGCCACAAGTTTCATCCCTGGTGGGGGAGCCAAGATCCTGCATCCCAGATGATGCAGCCTAAAAATAAATAAACAAAAATAAAACAACAACCAAAAAAACCAAAAGTCATAAAAAGGGAGGGGATGCAGAAAATACAAGTAGATGTTTAAATAAACACTTATACATGCTTATTTAAGTGTCTGTTTCTGTAACTTGTGAAACCTAGGAGAGAGGCAGGCTTCTCCTCTGACGGAGAACCGTTTTCAGTGTCCACGCTTAACTTCTCCCGTCTCCAGATCTGTGGACATACTGGAACTGACGGAGCAGGAGGAGCTGCTGAAATTCCACTACCACACTCTCCGGCTCTACTCGGCTGTCTGCGCGCTCGGGAACCACCGCGTGGCCCACGCCTTGTGCAGCCACGTGGACGAGCCGCAGCTGCTCTACGCCATCGAGAACAAGTACATGCCCGGCCTGCTGCGCGCCGGCTACTACGACCTTCTCATTGACATCCACCTCGGCTCCTACGCCACCGCCAGGCTCATGATGAACAACGAGTTCATCGTCCCCATGACCGAGGAGACGAAGAGCATCACGCTCTTCCCGGATGAGAACAAGAAGCACGGGCTCCCGGGCATTGGCCTCAGCACCTCCCTCAGGCCGCGGATGCAGTTTTCCTCCCCGAGTTTTGTCAGCATTAATACTGAGGGCTACCAGTATAGCCCGGAGTTCCCGCTGGACATCCTGAAGGCCAAGACCATACAGATGCTGACAGAAGCCGTGAAAGAGGGCAGCCTTCATGCGCGAGACCCCGTTGGGGGCACCACCGAGTTCCTCTTTGTCCCTCTCATCAAGCTGTTCTATACCCTGCTCATCATGGGTGTCTTCCACAACGAGGACTTGAAACACGTCTTGCAGTTGATTGAGCCTAGTGTGTTCAAGGAAGCCGCCAGCCCCGAGGAGGAAAGCGAGGTGGTGGAGAAGGAGCCCTGCGTGGAAGACTCCAAGCTGGAAGGAGCCGCAGAGGAAGAAAGCAAAGGCGGTAAGAGGCCCAAGGAGGGCCTGCTCCAAATGAAACTGCCAGAGCCAGTAAAATTACAGGTAAACGGGGAAAAACGATGGCAGTGAATTCACAACCTATTAACATTGACCTTGGTCTCTTTCTCTGTGTGTGTGTATGTTTGTGTTCCTGGGTAATTTTATAGTTCTTCATAAACTTAACCAGCTTCTTGTTGTACTTGGGAACACGCCCATCTAATTTTCTGGCATTTGGAATCAGTTCATGGGTTTTTGTCCTGCCATCTTCTGGTTTTTGTCCCCAGCTCATCTTCTCCCTATATGACACTCCAGTAAATTGGGAGTTGAAGTGTTGGAATGAGGAATAGTGACTATTCAGAAAGCTTGCAGGCTGAGAAGATGCTGCGCTTGTGTCCCAAAGAACCATCTTGCCAAGGTTGGGATGCCAGTTTCTTTTTTAGAACAAATAGGGAGAGATGTGGAGGTTAAGTAAAAAAGGTGTTAAGTTATAGCAAGTATTTCCTGACCACATTTGGGAGACATGTGGATGTGTTAGTCGCTCAGTCATATCTGACTCTTTGCGACCCCATGGACTGTAGCCCGACAAGCTCCTCTGTCCGTGGGATTTTCCAGACAAGAAAACTGGGATGGGTTGCCTTTCCCTTCTCCAGGCGATCTTCCCGACCCAGGGATAGAACCTGTATCTCCTGCACTGCAGACAGACTCTTTACCATCTGACCACCAGGGAAGCCCCGTATTTGGCAGGGGATATATTAATCTCTTCTTTCCTGCAGCCGTTCACAGATGGGCCTGGTCGGGATGTTTCCCGTGAGCGTAAACAAAGATATTTTAGCTTAATGTTTAGGCATGGGAGGCAGGGCCCCTGGAGATGAGCTGTTATAGACACTGTAAGCCTGGTATCCCTAACCCGCTGTGAGAAACTGGGTCACACAGCCGGAGGTGAGAGGCCAGCAAGCAAGCATAGCTTTATCTGTATTTACAGCCGCTCTGAATCACTTACTCGCATTTCTGCCTGAGCTTTGCCTCTTGCCAGATCGGTGGCAGTATTAGATTCTCATATGAGCACTTGAATCATCCCGAAACCACCGCCCCTACCCTATCCATGGAAAAATTGTCTTCCACAAAACTGGTCCCTGATGCCAAAATGGTTGGGGACTGTTGCTGTAAGCAACATCCCTTTTGCAATTAACTTGTAGTGAAAACAACAGAGTGTAAAGGTTAAAGAAACGAATCCAATATGGAGTCAGATTTGTTTTTCCCTGTTACACTTCTCCTCCTTGTTCATTAGCAATTTCCTTGTGTTTCTCCTTGTTTCTGCAGATTGACTGACATTCTGTTGGAATGCCTGAAACACAAAGCTTTTCATACCACTTTCTAACCCACCTCCACCCTTCCAACCTTAGGATACTTGTTCACCAGTAGGTGTGTCTATTCTCAAATGGCAAGATTTTACTTCCTATCTATGTTTCTAAGGAAACAAAGACCTTGCCTGCCTTTGTTCTCACCCAGGTGTCCGAAAGACTTGTACCTAATGCTACTTTGGTTCAGTTCAGATGCTTCCATTAATGTCAGTTTGATGCTTACATCCTTGACTCCCTTTTCTACTCTTCCTTCTTCAGTCAGCATTGATTGACATCTTTCTCTGATCCAGGCACTGGGTGCTGGCTCAAGGAAGATCACTATCCTTGGGGGAAATGCATACTTATGTGTTTCTGTTAGAATATCTTATAATTAATCACATTAAATGCTTGGAAGGAAAAAAAGGGATTTCTAGAAGAAAAATTTCAACTGGAATACTTTGAGAAAAGTGAGAGGAGATCTTTCTGAGGTCTTTTAAGCTGAGGTCAGGTTGATGAGCAGAGGTTCAACACTTGTGAAGAAGGAGGGGAAGAGTGCTTTGGAAGCTTGTCATACAAGCTCTGAGGTGAGAAGAGACCAGTGTGGCTACAGCTTCATGAGCTGAGGAGGGAGGGTGAGATAGGCGGAAGGCAGTAAATACAGAGTCTACCTCTTTGCTAAGGCCAGCCATATGGTGGATTTTGAATTTTATCCTAAGTTCAATTAAAACCATTGAAGAACTGATTCAAATGAATTCTTCTTTTTTTTTAATGGCTGAGTAATATTCCATAGTGTATATGTACAACAGCTTTCTTATCCATTCGTCTGCTGATGGGCATCTAGGTTGCTTCCATGTCCTGGCTATTATAAACAGTGCTGCNATAAACCCTATATTAACTTTGTAAAACTTTGAAATAATTAACAGTAGGGAACAACAGTTCTCATTGGATTCACTCTTTTAGATTAGTCTTTAGCATTAAAATGGCAAAACGTGGGAGGGGGATCGGGATGGGGAACACATGTAAATCCGTGGCTGATTCATGTCAATGTGTGGCAAAAACCATGACAATATTGTAAAGTAATTAGTTAGCCTCCAACTAATTAAAATAAATGGAAAAAAAAAACCATTGAAGAATTTTAGCAGGATAAGTCTATTCTAAAAAATCTCAACATAGCTGCTGTGAGGAAGATAGATAAGGGGAGTAAGAGACGGTGGTCCAGAGCCCAACTAGTCAGGAGGCTGACATGCAGGGTCAAGGCTGAGGAGACTGTGTTTCCACTGGAGTGGGGCAAAGCAGGTGGGGAGAGGGGCGTGGACACTAGGTCTAGCTTAGAGGCAGCATCGACAGAAATGGCTGTACTTAAGGTGGTGGAATAGGAGGATTTGAAGTCCTGTAACCCTGCTGTGCATTTATATCACAGTTGTTATAAAGTACATTTAAATGTTTCCCAAACTTGGGCCGAACATTCTCTGGAAGGCATGTTTCTGTGGTGCACTGTATCAGTTAAAAATCCTTTTGGCTTCTGGTAAGAAAATACCCAGCTGACTACTTAATGAATAAGCAGTGAACCACTTAGTTAACTTACATGCAGAGTCTGGAGGTAGACAGTTCTAGAGTGAATGTGGTAGTTTAGTGGTGTCATCAGGACCCCAGACCACAATAGCTTTCTGTGACCCTCAGTTTATGGTTCTTATCCTAAAGTGTGGTACCTCCTCCTTCCGTCAGTGATCGTGCCATTAGCCAGTTTTTGAAAATAGGATATTCTAGTCTTTTGTTAATGGTAAAAACACTTTCCCAGAAGACCCTTGCAAACTTTCCCTTACCTACCTCGTTTGCTGCAGCCCCTCTAGCCACAGAGGGTGCTGGCCAGTGAACGTTCATCAAAGGGACATCAAAGGGCATTTGCCATTTGAGCTTAGACAAATTGTATTTCATCGCCTGGACTGGGCACATTGCTGTCTACATAAAATCAGGATTCTATTAATAAAGGAGGAGAGTTGACAACTAAGTGTGTCCGTCACAAATTATGATTTGATATACATTAACTATTGAAAAATAGATATTAAACTTGGTGTCTTTTTAATCATCTCTTTAGATGTGCCTGCTACTTCAATACCTCTGTGACTGCCAGGTCCGGCACCGAATAGAAGCCATTGTGGCCTTTTCAGATGACTTTGTAGCCAAGCTCCAAGACAATCAACGATTCCGATATAACGAAGTTATGCAAGCCTTAAACATGTCGGCTGCACTCACAGCCAGGAAAACAAAGGAATTCAGATCCCCGCCTCAAGAACAGGTATAAGAATGAACAGAAAAGTCTTCCTTCCTTACTTTGGGTTTTATTCATTCATATTTGACACATTGCAGAATTTTACCAGAAGTTGCAAGTGTATTTTTTTTTCCTGTTTTCTTTACCCTTGGCTAAGTTCATTTTGTCAGTAATCATAGGTCTCACCAAAAGAATCTACTTGGTTAGTTTAAACAAATTAAATAAGAGACTTATTAAAAGGTATCGAGCATATGATGGACCCTTGGAGGAAGCCAGTGTGCCAGATTCTGAAGTTCTTCAAGTAGGAAAAGTATCCAGGTCACAGGGGGGTCTTCATTGGCTGGCACAGCACCACCCCAGCTAATAGGAACCCTTGACTTCTAAGACTTAATGTTCCTCTTCATTTTGTGTCTCCTAGAAGAACCCCATGCCACTGCCACCAGTCTTGCAGGAATATTGATCACCTCTTTGTGGGTCTTCCTCTGGTTGCTCACCTACAAACCCAGGTCTCCCTAAGGTGCAACCATGTCAGAAGCCTATGCCTAAATCCAAGAATGAGCTATTCTGGGGCCATGAACTTTCTGGTATCTGCCTCAGGATGGGTCTCTTACTGTGACAAATTACCAAAATGTATTGAGTTGGTCAAAATGTTCATTTGGGTTTTTCCATAGGATGATACAGGAAAACCCAAGTGAGCTTTTTGGCCCAGCCAGTAGCTATGATGGTTAAAAGGTATAACTTATACAGATCTCATCTTCAATATCTTACCTTGCTCTTTCCCTCTATATCCAAGATAGCTGTGAATGGAGGTACTTAGGTAGTAATTGTAGAATTTATCTTTTTCTCACCAGAATGTAAAGTCTTTGAGGGAAGGGACATGGAATTTTGTTTATTGCTGTAAAGAACATTTATTGAGCAGAGAACAAATCCAGCTTCTCCCAGAATAACTCCATTTGATAAAATACTATTGGGAAACTTCTGCTTCTGAAAAGATGGAATACCACTGCCTATTCTTCCTTCTAAGTACAACTATAACCCTGGTTATCACACGAAAGACAACATAAGAAGACTGAAAGACAGAAGAAAGACTGGCAGTGGAACTTGGGAGCTGAGGAATGACATGGTGGCGAGTTCCCTGGGATTTTGTTTTTTCTCATCTGTCACAAACTTGGAGCTAAAGAAGCCAACAACTCAGAAACACCAAGAAAAGCCTCAACAAGTACCTTCTCTGTCTAGCCAGAGAACCAGAAAAACTGTTTTTCTGGCAAGAGAGAAAACTATTAGGTAATGACCATGCTACTCCAGCCGAACACCACAGTAAACCTGGTGCCACACCCCCCACCAAACCAGCAGACACCGAGTGGAGAGCTTAGATGTCTGCTCGGATCAGGTTGTACACAGGTGCTCCAGCTGGGGCCCTGAGAAGCTGAGACTTTATCCTGGTTGAGTGGTAATGAGGCCTGTCCCTTCCAAAGGGTTGTGTGAGTTCAGGTCCGCTGTTCCCAGCCTCACCCAGCAGAAATGCGGTCTCCTCTCTCCTTCAGGGAGGTCAAGTGGAGAAATGGATGTGTACGCCACCTAGCAGTAATGGTATCAGAAGTCAGAAGTTTGAATAAGAAACAAAGTCTCCTGGTTTAGTTGCTAAGTCGTGTCCAACTCTTGTGACCCCATGGACTGTAGCCTGCTAGGCTTCTCTGTCCATGGGATTTTCCAGGCAAGAATACTGGAGTGGGTTGCCATTTCCCTCTCCAGGGTCTCATAGTGTACTACCAGAAATGTCCAGATTTCAATTAAAAATCACACATCACACCAAGATCCAGCAAAAACTTGAATGAAAAATGGCAGTCAATAGATACCAACTCTGTGATGACAAAAATAAAAAAGTCGCAGCAAAAACAATAGGAGCTACAAAGAAGATCCAAATGGAAATTCTACAACTGAAAAATACAATGTCTGAATTAAAAATCATCAGTAGGTGGATTTAATGGCACAATGGAGGGAAAAGACGTTATTTAGCCCTCAAAATAGAAAATAACAGTGAAAAAAAATAGAGCCTGGGGCACCAATGCGAATATAGCAAAAGATCTAACATTTATGGCATTAGATTTCCAGAGAGATAGAAGAAAGAGAGTGAACTCTGTTCCCAGCCTCACCCAGCAGAAATGCGGTCTCCTCTCTCCTTCAGGGAGGTCAAGTGGAGAAATGGATGTGTACACCACCTAGCAGTAATGTTATCAGCAGTTTGAATAAGAAACAAAGTCTCCTGCTTTAGTTGCTAAGTCGTGTCCAACTCTTGTGACCCCATGGACTGTAGCCTGCTAGGCTTCTCTGTCCATGGGATTCTCCAGGCAAGAATACTGGAGTGGGTTGCTATTTCCCTCTCCAGGGTCTCATAGTGTACTACCAGAAATGTCCAGATTTCAATTAAAAATCACACATCACACCAAGATCCAGCAAAAACTTGAATGAAAAATGGCAATCAATAGATACCAACTCTGTGATGACAAAAATAAAAAAGTCGCAGCAAAAACAATAGGAGCTGCAAAGAAGATCCAAATGGAAATTCTACAACTGAAAAATACAATGTCTGAATTAAAAATCATCAGTAGGTGAATTTAATGGCACAATGGAGGGAAAAGAAAAAAAATATTATTGAAGAGAGAATAGACGTTATTTAGCCCCCAAAATAGAAAATAACAGTGAAAAAAATAGAGCCTGGGGCACCAATGCGAATATAGCAAAAGATCTAACATTTATGGCATTAGATTTCCAGAGAGATAGAAGAAAGAGAGTGAACTGAAAACATTCTTGAAAAAGTAATGGTTGAAAACTTTTCATATTTGCCAAAAGTTATAGATATTCAAGAAACTGAGTAAACTCCAAATGAAATACACCCCAAATGTAAGCCCAAACATATTGTAGTCGAACTTCTGAACATGAAAGGGAAAAATCTTGATAGGACCAAGAAACAAATGACACTTGGAAAGACAAGTCAAGTGTCAACGAATTTCTCATCAGAAAATACAGGGGACAGAATGAAGTGGCACAGCATTTTTCGTGTGCTGAAAGAAAAGACCTGTGAACCATAATTCTATGTGCAGTGAAAATATCCTTCAGAACTGAGGGGAAATAAAAATTTTCTCAACTGAAGGAAAACTACCAGAATTGGATTATCCTGAAAGAGTGCCTAAAGGAAGTTGTTTAAACATAAAGGAAATGATAAAAGAAGAAAATTTGAAAAATCAGGAAAGAACAGAAAGTGAAGGAAAGTTACAAGGCTCAAAATAGCTTGGAGTTAAAACTCCCTTCCGGGTCCTCCCCACCATTCTATGCAAAACAAAGAACCCTCTCACCAGAAGAAAAAAATGGACGTTAGGGTTGATTATGCCCCGCTCCCAGCTGGTCTCAGCTTCTGGCAGATCTCCAGAATTCTTGCCCTAGCCATTTAAGAGATAACTACCCTGAACAACCTTGGAGAAGAACAAGCCCCCTTAACACAGTAGATTTCCACATACGTGCCTCTATATGCCTGCTCTTTTCTTGGGTTCCTGCAGCAACTCACTTAATCTGACTGCTGCCCCTTCTCACCTCATTAAAGGTGATCTGTTCCTGTTAAGTGCCAGTCTTTTTCTTTTTCTGAACCTTGCCTTCTCTGACTCCCTTACCCTACAGAAAGTGTTAAAATAAGGGTAAATACAATTTTTTTTCTCTTGAGCCTTCTAAATTATGTTTGATGTGCAAAGCAAAAATGGTAACTCTGATATGTTCTAAATGTATGCTTACTAAATATTTAAGGCAATTGTATTTTCAGTGGTGGAGAATAAGGGACATAAAGGAAGATAAAGTTTCTGTATTTCATTTAAACTGATAGAGTGTTAATACCAGTAGACTGAGATAAATTATGTATATATTAATATAATATCCTGTGTTACCACTAAAATAGCTATGCAAAGAGATACACTAAAAAATACCATGGATAGTTCAAAATAGGATCCTAGAAATAGTTCCGGGAACCCACAGCACTTTGGGAAAAATAAATGAGAAAAAACGAACAGAAAACAAGTAAAATGACAGGCATATCAATAAATTCATGAGTATAAATAATGTAAATAAAGTAAGAGAGATTGACAGTGAATTTTAAAAGCTTGGCTTAACTATATGCTGTCTTTGAGAAATTCACTTAAAATGTAATGATATGTTGAAAATAAAAAGGATGAAAAAGGTATGTTATGAAAAATTAATTAAAAGAAAATAAGATGACTGTATCAGAGCAAAGAAATTTGTCATAGATAGGAACATTATATAAGAATAAGAGATCAGTCCACCAGGAAGACAAATGTGTATGCACTAGACAACAGAGCTGCAAAATATGTGAAATCAACATAGAAGTGACAGGAGAAATAGACGAATACAGGGTTGTAGTTGGAGACTTTAACACCCCTCTCTAAGTATTTGAAGGACAAGATAGACAAAGAATCAGCAAGAATGGAGGAGAATACACCAGTGTTATCACTAGCAGGATCTTTGTATATTTATGGGACACTCTGCCCAATAATAGAAAACAGGTTTATTTTCAATTGTCTATGAAACATTTGCAAAGACAGATTGTAGCCTGAGCCATGAAACAACCTCAACAAATGTAGAAGAATTGATTTTTTTTTTTTCATACAGGATGGTTTTTCACCATGAGTCAAATTAGAAATTAGTAACAGAAATATAGCAGGCAAATCTCTGAACACTTGGAAACTAACCAATACACTTAGTTCAAGGAACAAGTCTCAAGAAAAAAATAAAAAATACATTGAACTGAAAGAAAGTGAAAATATGATATATCAAACTTTGTGGAAACAGCGGAAACTGTGTGAGAGGGAAGTTTATTGCATTAAATACTTATATATAAAAGAGCAAAAGACTCAAAGTAATAATCTAAACTGCCATCACAAGAATTTATAAAAATAACAACATAAGCCCAAAACAAGCCAAAAAAAAAAAAAGGCAGTAATATAGAACAGAGGAGAAATGAATGAAACTGCAAGCAGGACAATGAAAAAATCAATGAATCCAAAAGCTAGTTATTTTTAAAAATTAAAGAAATCAATAAAATTCTAAAGGAATTAGCAAAGAAAGAAAGAAAGCACAAATTACCAAATCAGAAATGAAATGAGATAATGAGATATCACTACAAACTATAGATTGCAAAAGGATAGATAATATGGGAATACATGTATTCATGCTGTATGATTCTATGATTCTGTTTGTATAATGTTCTTGAATTGCCAATAATATAGAAATGGAGAACAGGTTAGTGGTTGATAGAATTAGGGATGAAGAGCAAGCAAGAGTGAAGAGGGTGTGGTGATAAAAGGATTAACAGGAGGGATCCTGAAGTGATGGACTTGTTCTTTCTTTTGACTGTATCAAAGTCAGTATCCTACATGTAAATCCATGGCTAATTCATTTCAATGTATGACAAAAACCACTGCAATGATGTAAAGTAATTAGCCTCCAACTAATAAAAATAAATTGGAAATTAGCTAGAAAAATATCTAGAAGGATAATAAAAATTTAGTAAGTAAATTTAGGTCTTAATTAGTTTAAAAACACTAAGTATACACAGATCTAACATTTTGTGAAATTGAGAAAGGAGACTCAAATAATATGACTATTTTAGCATGCTAAGCTTTGAATTATTTGATTGTGTTATTTGTTGGATTGAGTAATAGATAATGATTTTTCATCTGTTGGGCACAAGTCCTTGAATACTTAAAAGCAGAGTTTGAACATTTTCGATTTTTATAATTTTCTTTATTATGCTGTTCCTAGATTCACTTTTCTTTTACTTTAGTTCTTCCTCTTGTTTTTTCTAAACTTTCAGATCAATATGCTTCTCAATTTTAAGGATGACAAAAGTGAATGTCCATGTCCTGAAGAAATCCGAGACCAACTCTTGGATTTTCACGAAGATTTGATGACACATTGTGGTAGGGTCTTTTTGACCTAGAACTCTTACTGAATATATATTTTAGTACACATATATTGGTACAAAAGTTCTGATGTGGAAAGGCTCGAGGGGTATAGAGATGAGAAGGCATTAAGACCAAGCAGAACGTGACCAACGTTCTTTTCTTTTTCCCTTTTCTTCCTTCAGTGGCCTGGGGAATGGGGACATGTAACCAGGAACTTTTGTCAAAGGAGGAAGTTTTAAGTTGATTTAGTCTAAAGAAATTTGTTCATACGCTGTTATATTTCAACTGGTTGAGGGGCCCCTTTTAAGGATTGACCTAGGAGATCTGGCATGTTTGAAATTGATTAATGCCTGAAGAACTCCTTTGATAAGTTGTCGGTCAGTAGCCCAAATCTGTTACGGTGATTCTTCCCTCTTCTGGGGGCTTCTCAGATGACTCAGTGGTGAAGAATCTGCCTGCAAAGCGAGAGACACAGACTTAGTCCCTGGGTCAGGAATATCCCCTAGAGGAGGAAATGGCAACCCTCTCCAGTATTCTTGGCAGGATAATCTCATGGACAGAGGAGCCTGGCAGGCTATACAGTTCATGGGGTTGCAAAGAGTTGGATCCAACTGAGCACACATGCCCCTCTTTTTATTCTAAGAACTTTAAAAATGGAATTGATTGAATGTTCTGAATCCAATCAATTGGTTTTTTCCTCTCTTTATGCAGTGATGTGAAAAAGTCTGTGTCTTGATGAAAGAAAACAAATTAGCTATATCTTAAGTGGTATTTTATTTTAATGAAGGCAGTAAAAGTATATTAATTCAGCTTATGAATGAGGAACCACTAAATGACTGCCAGAAGGTTATACTATAAATAACTACACACACACACATATGCTATAAATAAAGGGATACTCTAAAATGGTAGATTTATTGCTTCAGACATAAAATATTCATTTGTTTTGTACATCTAACTATATATACACTCTCTGTGTCTCAAATTATTAGAATATCACTGATATTTTTGGAGGCAAGTAAGGAGGATAAAAAGCCAGCAGGATGTTTAGGGAGGGCAGAACCATAGGTCTAGACAGTGCCCAAGGTCAAGTTTGTACATCTAACTCTATATACACTCTCTGTGTCTCAAATTATTAGAATACCACTGATATTTTTGGAGGCAAGTAAGGAGGATAAAAAGCCAGCAGGATGTTTAGGGAGGGCAGAACCATAGGTCTAGACAGTGCCCAAGGTCAAGAAATGCCTAAGGTTAGCTTACATAGTAGAATGGATTTTAACTCCTGAAAGAGTCTTTTTGCTCTCTGCTTCGCTTTATATTTTGTGCTAGCTGCTGATAGCTCCAGTCTCACAAAAACAGGGCAATGAAAAAGAAACCAGGGCCAAGAAAAAGAGAGCAATGAATGAATCTTACCTGTGAATGCTAGTGGAAAAGATCACTTAACTTGGTTTCCTCAGATGTTTCAGGCATGGTAGCATTGCTTTAAGCTATGAGCGGAAAAAATTGCAAAACCTGAGAATTGTTTCCCCTCAGTGTATTTTTTAAACATTATTTGTTCTTTTCTTATTTCTCTTTGTCTTCTTCCTACTAGGAATTGAGCTGGATGAAGATAGGTCTCTGGATGGAAACAATGATTTAACTATTAGAGGACGCCTGCTGTCCTTGGTAGAAAAGGTGACATACCTAAAGAAGAAGCAAGCTGAAAAGCCAGTTGAGAGTGACTCCAAGAAGTCATGTAAGCTATGAAAGGGCACTGCCAAAATGACTCCACCACGACATTCATTCATCATCTGAACAAATATTATTCTAGATGAACCAGTGAGAAAGTTGAATTTACAGCTTGCAAGAATCGGGTTGTTAAGTAGATCCTCATAGCCACCAGAAGTAGATAGCAGCATCAGACTATATTTGCAGGAACACACTGAGAATGGCAGTTTTGTAAGGATGGATGGGCTATCCCTAGAGAACTAAAGATTTAGGGGAACAGATTCTGTGAAACCAAATAAAGCACACTGAAACAATGGGTTTTTCAGACCTGCACACTCATCCAGAAAGTGTTCATGAAGTAGGTCTGTGAGATCAGCCGATTCACTGTCTCACTTCTGAGACTCCTTTTATTTAAGAGGCAGTGTCAGTTTATTAACAGCACTTATGGAAAGAAAAAGAAAAGAACTCATGCAATTTTTGTGTCCCCCCCCCAACTTACAATGGAAATCTTTTATCCATGTAATTACTGCTAAATTTATTTTTCAGTATCACAACCACATTTGAGTCAGGTCTTCAAAATCAGAGTTCAGAGTTTCTTCTGAAGCATTTTTTGTTATTTTCAGGCTTATGATTTTGACCTATTGACACTAACTACATGGTTTTGAGATATGTAGAAGTATATTGGCATTTTGTCTAGATTTTATATTTGGTTAAAATTGGTGGAAAGTAAAGTGTGTCTGACTCTTGCAACTCTGCTTGGACTGTAGCCTGCCAGGCTTCTCTGTTCATGGGATTCTCCAGGCAAGAATATTAGAGCAGGTAGCCGTTTCCTTCTCCAGAGGATCTTCCCAACCCAGGGGTCAAACCCCGGTCTCCTGCATTGTAGGCAGCTTCTCAGATGGTAGTCTGAGCTGTGTTTTTTGTTTGTTTGTTTTTTTACTTTAATAAGGCATAGATTAAAACAGATTAGCAGTTTCTTTTGGAAATCAGCCAATGTATTGATGATAGGAATTTAGTACCTATGTATGAATTAAGACTCTTGAGAGTCCCTTGGGCAGTAAGGAGATCAAACAAGTCAATCTTGAAGGAAATCAACCCTGAATATTCATTGGAAGGTCTGATGCTGAATCTGAAGCTTTAATACTCTGGCCACCTGATGTGAACAGATGACTCTTTGGAAAAGACCCTGATCTGGGAAAGATTAAAGGCAGAAAGAGAAGAGGGTAACAGAGGATGGGCTGGATGGCGTTACCAATTCATTGGACATGATCTTGGGCAAACTCCGGGGATGGTGAGGGACAGAGAAACCTGGAATGCTGCCGTCTGTGAGGTTACGAAGAGTCAGACATGTCTTGGCGACTGAACAGCAGCAAGATGAGTCAGTCACATCAGCCCTGCTAAGCTTTGATCATTTTACTATATACTTTAAGAGGTTTGAAAGTCCTGTTGCTTCTAAGTGTGTTATTGCTGATCACACTGCAAGTAATCATCTATGTATAGGATAACTTTTCAACTTAATACAGCTTCACAGTCAGATCCTTTGAAGACATTTTAAGTGACAATTAGGGATACAAATTGAAGTAGAAATGTAATTTCATGAGGCCACTACTACTAAGTACTTAAATGAGGAAACAGTTGGATTAAAAAAGAAACTCCTTAAGTGACCATGACTGACCTTTTCAAGGATATATGATGTCATATCTTTTGGGAGGAGATGAGTGAAACAAAGAAATTAAAAGTAATAGGACAACCCATTGATTACCCTATGGATTGCCAATAGTAGTTCTGGAAAAGCTGCTATAATTTTGAAATAGCTTAAATGCCTTAGTTATAAGAATAGTTTTTAAAGAAAGTTTGTGTATTTTTATCCTTGCATGCTTGTTAACTCATCTTTATTGACATACTGTCACTGATGATTGTTTAAAGAATATTTATATTTTTTCAAAAAATTATTCCTTTTCAATTCTTGTACAAACATAGACGCCAGTTTGGGTTATATCCTGGTAGCTCAGGTGGTAATGTGTCTGCCTACAATGTGGGAGAGCCGAGTTCGATCCCTGGGTTGGGAAGATCCCTTGGAGAAGGAAATGGCAACCCATTCCAGTACACTTGCCTGGAAAATCCCATGGACAAGAGGAGCGTGGTAGGCTGCAGTTCATGGGGTTGCAAAGAGTCAGACACGACTGAGCGACTTCACTTTCACTTTTAGATTATCTGAAACACGCATTTGAAATACCCGTCTAATCTGCCTTATTATCTTCCTTTTCTAAGAAGTGTCCATGATTGCTTTGCAGCCACTCTTCAGCAGTTGATCTCTGAGACCATGGTCCGATGGGCTCAAGAGTCTGTCATTGAAGACCCTGAGTTGGTGAGGGCCATGTTTGTGTTGCTCCATCGACAGTATGATGGCATTGGGGGTCTGGTACGGGCTCTGCCAAAGACCTATACTATAAATGGTGTTTCTGTGGAGGATACCATCAATCTGCTAGCATCTCTTGGTCAGATTCGTTCTCTGCTAAGTGTGAGAATGGGCAAAGAAGAAGAGAAACTTATGATTCGTGGATTAGGGTAAGTTATTTAACTGTTGATATTATAACCTTTGTCTTATAAATGTCTTCTTTCCAATTGTTTATCCCAGTAGTAATACAGTGGGCACTTTAGCATAAATACTCCATCTAGATTTTATGATCATTAGATTGTCAGTTTTCTAGAGATTATGTTTTAAAGCTAAATAGGAAAATTGCTCAATAATAAAGCAAGCATGACTAATTTTATAACTAGATGCCAGGGTGGCTGTGGTACATAACAAATATCTTAGATTTGTTTTTTTATTAGTTTCTGAGTGATATCCAATCATGTATAAAAATACAGATTAATAAAAAAAACACATTAAAATCCATAGGGGTACAAATATTACCAGCAGGAGATAATAAAGACGTTTCTCCATGTCTCCTGAGAAAATAATGGGATAGAACAACTACTCTGAAAATTCAACATCATACGTTGTACTTTACGTAAATTTCAGGGTTAACATTTTCTTTATTGAATTATAGTTGATTTACAAAATTGTCTCAGTTTCTGGTATACAACAAAGTGATTCATGTCTATATATATATATGTTTTTGTTTTCTTTTTCGTGTTCTTTTCCTTTATGGTTTATCACAAGATATTATAGTTCCCTGTGCTATGCAATTGGACCTTGTTGTTTATCCATCCTATATGTAGCAGTTGACATCTGCTTGCCTTAGACAGGGTTAACATTTATGCCTCATGCATAGTCTAAGGATCCACTAGCTGAGAAGTCAACATAATTTGGCCTGAAGCTATGCTTTCTCAACTCAGTTCACTGTGAACAGTAAAAGCCTCCATGCTACCAAAGATTAGCATCCAGTCAGAGAGTGCGGAGCACCTAAGAAAATATTCCACCCTAGGCAGGTCTGCAGATTCGGTGAAGAGTGGAGTTAGAACACCTCCCCGAAGAGCTTCAAATCGTAGAAAGCCAGAAAGAGAACATGAAGTTACTATATCTAAGATGTTTAAAAATGCCAAGAAACAGATGGAATCCTCAAAATGAGACCCACAAGAAGTCCATGAAAAATTGAAAAATATCCACAGAAAAGTTCTAGAAGTAAAAAATATAATAATTGGCATTAAGAGCAGTGATTTTAAAAGTATCAAAAGTGTAGATAAATAAAACTGAAGAGAATAATGAATAGAATCATAGAGCTGAGGAGATCAGTAATGCAGCACTGATGGAGAAATTAAGAAACCTGGGGAATAGTATAAGAAGATCCTTAATATGCCAAGTAGGATTTATGGAAAAGACAGAATAGATGAACTATAGAAGGAAAACTTGGAAGAGCTATTGGCTTGAGTTTTTCAGAACTGATGACAAACATGAATTTACTTATTCCTGGAGTACAAATCCACATCCACAGCTGGGTAGATTGTAGTGAAACTCCATAATGTCAGTGATAAATAGAATATTTTGAAAGCAAACAGAAAAGCCCAGACACTTGAAAAGAAACAATGTTTAGAATTCTCAACTAGTGATCTAGCAAAAGTAGTGATCATAATTCAATAAAAGGTCACAAAGTTCTAAGAGACCACAAAATCATAACCCTTTATTTAGAATGTGTTGTTCAACTAAAATTTTATCATCATAAACTTGTGCTTCATGTGAATTTGAATATTGGAGTTTATATTCCCTATTCAAGAGTGAGGGCAGAACAAAGAAATTTCAGAATGTTTACTTATAGTCCCTGATTGAAAGGCCTCCTAAAGGCTGTATGTATATAATGGAAAAGAAAATGGAATTCAGAAAAGTGGGAAGTAATCTGTTTCAGTGAGTATGTTACTGGCTGCTGCTAAGTCACTTCAGTCATGTCCGACTCTGTGCGACCCCATAGGCGGCAGCCCACCAGGCTCCACTGTCCCTGGGATTCTCCAGGCAAGAACACTGGGGTGGGTTGCCATTTCCTTCTCCAGTGCATGAAGGTGAAAAGTGAAAGTGAAGTCGCTCAGTCGTGTCCAACTCTTAGCACATATATGCATATATGTAAGCAATCATTAACAAGCTTGCATGGTTTGGGAATAAGAAAATATGAGAGAGGGACTTTCCTGTGGTCCAGTGATTAAGACTTCACCTTCTAGTGCAGAGAGTGTGGATTCAATCCCTGGTTGGGGAACTAAGATCCACATGCCTCATGGCCAAAATCTAAAACATAAAACAGAAGTAATATTGTAATAAATTCAATAAAGACTTAAAAATGGTCCACATCAAAATAATCTTTAAAAAAGGAAATATAAGAGAATTAAAATAACCAGAGAAAAATAAAAACTTAAATTAAGCAACATGATATTCATAAGAAAGAAATACGTAAATGTAAAGATGTAAAAATCTGGAATGTGGAATGCTGAAAAGTGATGCAGAAGACAAATACTTAGGCCCCTTACTACCAAAAAAGCTAATTTGGTTCTGTGAATGACAGATAAAAGAGGAGATGATGATACCTAGTGACATAGGTAAAATAAAACACTAATAATGGGTGTGTGTGTGTGTTAGTCACTCAGTGGTGTTGACACTGTGGACTGTAGCCTGCCAAGCTCCCCTATCCATGGAACCCCCAGTTAAGGCTACTGGAGTGGGTAGGCATTCCCTTCTCCAGGAATCTCCTGCATTGAAGGCAGATTCTTTACCATCCACAAGTAATCAATGAATAGGGTTAAAAAACCTTGGAGTTGGCTCTTTGAAAAACAACTAAGGAAACAGAATAACTGATGTTTTCTCTGGCTAAAAAATTTATTCTGAGGGGAAAGAAAAAAAAAAGTATGGAAAGACACAAATTATGTGATATTTATGTACATTTTAAATTCATAACATTACACTAGATATTTCCTGTGGGACTATTAAATATTTGAAACCATAAACTGGAGAGGTTATATTCCAGGAATCCTTAAAATGATTGCATACTAAAAATCAGTGTACTTTTGGGACAAAGAAGGAAAACAAAGAGACTGAAACAACATAAGCTAATTTTATGTTCTTTATTTATGACTGTCTGTGCATGAGCCTTTTTTTTGAATATTAGTGCTTATATCTAACCTGAGGGAGCCTCTGGTGAGAAGTGATCTTAATTAAATGAGAAAGGAAGCCTTCCAGGAAATGGAGAGCACTTTCTTCCTAAATGACCATGTAACAGTAAGAGGTACTATTAACATATACATCACTCAATAGGGATAAAACTCAAAATGATTATGAAACAAGATAAAATGCTACTTTTTTGTGGGATTAGAAAGATCCCAAAGTGACACATTTAATGAGTGACAACCTGCCTGCTGGTGGTAGAATTAAAGATCCATTTAATTTACCTTGAACTAAAAGCAAACGAGACTTTTCAATTAGATACCTTCCAAACTTATGTCATGTAAAAGGATTTGAATTAACAGGAGGACAAATCTCATGATTACATCTGTGGTTTGAGGGTTGAGGTTCTCTTGGCAAGCTATCATTTGTGAAGGAAAGGATGCCTTTACCTTATTTGTCCCTGCAGGAAATAGATCAGACCTATATTATCCAGGTGACACAGTGGTGAAGAATCTGCCTACCAACGCAGTAGACACAAGAGGTGCTGGTTCAATCCCTGGGTCAGGAAGATCTGGAGTAGGAAATGGCAACTGATTCCAGTATTCTTGGCTGGAAAATTCCATGTACAGAGGAGCCTGGCGGGCTACAGTCTGTGGGGCTGCAAAGTCGGACACGACTGAGCCGCTAAGCAGACACACAGTTAGCCCTGGGCCCCCAGGTCATTTATCGGAGTAGTGCTACCTAAAAGCTGTCGTCGTAACCCAACCTAAACAAAGTGATTAATAAATTAAAAGTGAAGAACTGAAACTAAAAGAAAGTAATCGAATTATTTCACTTTCTTGATACAGCCAGAATATGACTAAATGAATAGATGAGTAACTCAGTTAAGGTAATCAGATTCAAAAGGAAAGCTTCAAGTTTCCTATCAGTTGTATGTTATTTTCCTGCTCTGATTCTGACAGAAAATGTTTTATGGAAAAGACTCTTGCATGATTTGATATATGTAAAAATAAAAATTAACCGAGCTCTCTTTTGCAATGATTGTTAAACATTAAAATGCCTTTATATATGTATTATAATAATACGTAATACAATAATAATGAAACATTTTAGGTATCATTTCCTGCCATTTCTTTAAATTAATTGATCTCTTTTAATAAGTAGGATTACTTGTACCTGGGCTTCAGTTTAGTTTGGTGTCTCTTGGAGAATACATCGCCTTTAAAAGAATTTCACCAGAATAATAACATAAATGTAGCAGGAAATAGCACTACTGTTCTTAAACATACAAATTATGAATATAGTTCTAAAAACAGTGCATATGGATAGGAGAGATACTTATACAGCAATTATTTATATAGGAACTTTCATAAGAATGTAAGAAAAACACTGCTTCATATTTCTGTACAAAATAAGGTTGAATTTGGATATCCATGGAATTAGGAATGATGAGTGTCCCAAACTCTGTGTCATATAAATTAATATTTACTTATTTAGTACATTTCTTGCAACTAAAAAGAATAAATGATTTGTATAATATCTTTGGAAAACTTCCTGTATTTTCGAGGAAAGCCCAATTATCTTTATTTTCTTTTAAGGCTTGGTGATGATTTTTCTTACATGTCCATACATGCTAGTAATTATTTCCAAAATACTTATGATCTCAGATAAATTTCTGTTTAAATTTCGCTATAACTCTTTGCTTCACTTAAACTTGTGTTGTCCTTTCTAGGGATATCATGAACAATAAGGTGTTTTACCAGCATCCTAATCTCATGCGGGCACTTGGGATGCATGAGACAGTGATGGAGGTCATGGTCAATGTCCTCGGAGGTGGAGAGTCCAAGGTAAAGGAAACCCTTTCATTCTTGGGATGCCTTTTACTGTAACCTCCTAGAGGACATTCATTGTGTATTCTTGGGAATTTGTAACCGTTTTTTAGACAATCCCTTACAGGTTGAGAGGTGGCTATGCTTCTGCAGTCAGCCCCACAGGATCCACAGGTGATTGGTTCCAGGACCTTACTGCAGATACCAAAATCCACAGATGCTCCAGTCCCTTAGGTTAAATGCATAGTATTTGTGTAAAACCTATGCACATTCTCTCATATACTCTGAATCATGTCTAGATCACTTATAATACCTAATGTAAATTCTATCTAAATAGTTACTGGCATATAGCAAACTCAGGTTTTGCTTTTTAGAGCATTCTGTAGTTTTTGCTTTTTGGTTGAATATGCAGATGTGTAACCTGCAGATAAAGAGGTCTGGCTGAAGGTTTTTTTTTTTTTTTTTTTGATATTGATAATTTGCTTGAAAAAGTGAACGTATTAGTCACTCAGTTGTATCCGACTCTTTGTGATCCCATGGACTATAGCCCACCATGCTTCTCTGTCCCTAGAATTCTCCAGGCAAGAATACTGGAGTGGTTGCCATTCCCTTTTCCAGGGGATCTCCTGACTCAGGGATCAGACCAGGGGTCAAACCCAGGGCTCCTGCATTGCAGGCAGATTCTTCACCATCTGAGTCACCAGGGAAGCCTGGTAATTTGTCTAATGCCATGTAACTTGCTATTTTCTCTATTATTCTCATTGAGAAGATATTTAGAAACTGTAACTGTTAATAATATGCTAATTTTTATACAATTAAATACATTTCCATCACATTCAAAGTCCATAACAAAAACATGCTCTCTAGACCCAACCAATCCCTTGATTCGGACAAGAGTTAGTTCCACTGAATTCCTGATGCAGAATATGCTTTATAGTATGTTGAAGATGATACTGTATAGTACTTGTTGTAAGACTCTAAGGTGACATTTTAAATGGTTAAAATGTAAAATAATAAGTTTTAGGACCAATATATAATTTCATGTAATGCAGTACCATTTCATGACCTCTGATTTGAAAAATGATTTTCTTTTTGAAATTTTAAAATGTATTTTTCCAAATTTGGAAATGAGTCCATATTTCTCACGTTCAGACTCTTGGTTAGACAAACTTATAAAGATATTTATAAAATATTCTGTTTAATAAGAACTTGGAGTCTTTGGGGATTATCTGTGGTATACTAGAATAAGATCTAGATGTCAAGGGAGATATGTTTGCTGGGGCCTAGCAGGCAGACCTTCCAGGAAGGGTGTTCATCACAGGAGACAAGTCATGTACCAGTCAGGGAACATCTGAATTCCTGGAATCTTAATAATAATACAACAACAACACTGATGATAAGAACATCCTATTCAGTCAGTTCAGTCACTCAGTCATGTCTGACTCTTTGCAACCCCGTGAATCGCAGCACCCCAGGCCTACGTGTCCATCACCAACTCGCAGAGTCTACCCAAACCCATGTCCATCGAGTCAGTGATGCCATCCAGTCATCTCATCCTCTGTCGTCCCCTTCTCCTCCTGCCCCCAATCCTTCCCAGCATTAGGTAGGGTCTTTTCCAATGAGTCAACTCATCGCATGAGGTGGCCAAAGTATTGGTGTTTCAGCTTCAACATCCTATTATGTGGTTCCAAATATTAAACGGTATTTTTCACAAAATGCCTCATTGAACTGTCCTTCCTTTGCCTAAATATTATTATTCATCTTATTCCAGTTTTGCAGAATAGAATCAGTGAGATCGTTTAATTTTCCAAGGAAGCACAGCTAATAGTGGGCATCAAGAATCACAGTTGAGCCTGCCTGAATCCTAAAGTAGGCTCATGCTACCTTTAAGTATATTGACAATAGTGAGGTTTCCTATTAGTGTTTGGCTTGATTTTTAGTGGCTCTAGGACTAGATGAGCCCTCATCTGGACATTCACAGGTCTTTAGTACCCGAGGCTTGGTAGACATGGGCACACAAGGATGGGCAATCTGATTGAGACCTCAACTTCAGAACTCACCATTAACAAAGTTTCTTTGCTTTCCCAGCTAACTAAATGCTCTTTATGTAGGAAATCACGTTTCCGAAGATGGTGGCCAACTGTTGCCGTTTTCTCTGTTACTTCTGTCGTATAAGTAGGCAGAATCAGAAAGCCATGTTTGATCATCTCAGTTATTTACTGGAAAACAGTAGTGTTGGCCTTGGTAAGTAAATGTATGACTTTCATTGAATCTTTAAGATAAAAGGGGAATACATGTAAATCCATGGCTAATTCATGTCAATGTATGACAAAAACCACTACAATATTGTAAAGTAATTAGCCTCCAACTAATAAAAATAAATGAAAAAAAAAGATAAAAGGGATATACAAACTGGATTTTAAAACTAAACTTTAAATTATTTTGGATTGGTGCAATGTGCAATGTATTTAGAAATGAAATTCTATGTGAAAGTATGTTTTTATATGGGATTCAGAGTTACAGCACAATTCAGGTTTTGTTCCATCTTTGCTTTAACAGCCTCACCAGCTATGAGAGGGTCAACACCATTGGATGTGGCAGCAGCCTCGGTGATGGATAATAATGAACTAGCTTTAGCTTTGCGGGAGCCAGATCTGGAAAAGGTAGGTACAATCTCTGCCCGATGTGCTTGTGTGAGTTACAGTTGTTTATAGTTGTTTCTCAGGATATTTAACTATAAGTAGTTATAATTATGTTGTTATAACTATAATATACTATGTATTCTAAATATGTTACACTTCTTATATGTAGTAGACTTCCCTGGTGGCTCAGATAGTAAAGAATCTGCCTGTGCTGCAGGAGACATGGGTTCGATCCCTGGGTTGGGAAGATTCCCTAGAGAAGGGACCAGCTCCCCACTCCATATTCTTGCCTGGAGAATTCCATGGATGGAGGAACCTGGTGGGCTAGAGTCCATGGGATTGCAAAGAGTCAGACACAATTGAGTGACTAATACACTGTATGTTATTATATATAATACATACTACTGTATGTAATATTATTTTAACTTATAAAGAATAAGAAATTTAAGATACTTTATCCAATCACATGCGTTTTTCTCTGGAAAGAGAATCAAGTTTATATTCTTGGATGTTTATGTCCTTTCACAATAATCTGCTGTCACTTTTACTTTAATTATGCATTTTTACTTCCTCAAAAGGTTATTTTAACATCTCATGTATATAATTTATATCACACAAGTTTGCATATTACAGTGCAAGGTGTTACTAGTATACTAAAGGCTGTGCACTCTAATCATAGTAAGCCATATGTATGTTTACCAAAATATGGATAAATTTCCCCCATATTTTAATTGCAGTTACATTCTAAATAGTCTGCCTGAGCCTCACCTGCAGCCAGAGTGAGTCTCTTGAAAGTTTCATGTTAATCTTCTGCCCAGAACCTTCTAGACTTTCTTTCTCACTTTGAGCAACAGTAAAAAGCATTTGAATTGTTCCTGCCCTATCTTGACTGTCACATATTGTCTTATTTCACTTCTTGCCACTCTGCGTTTCTTGTTGCTCCAGCCACCCTGGTCCCCTTGCTGTGACTGGCACTTGCCAGGTCTGCATCTGCCCTTGGGCCTTGGTACTTGCTCTTCTCTCCGTCTGTAGTATTCTTTTGCCAGATGTCCTCATGGCTGTTTTCCAGACATCCTTCCAGTCATTGCTCCAAAGTCACCTTTCTGCTCTTCCGTATCTGTGCTATAGTTTAAATATTTATGGTTTAAAATTATATTTAAATCTATATATTTATGTATTTTTCAAAATCTACTTTTTTGTATAATGTAAAGACAATGAGCACAGGGCTTTCCCCCCGCCCCCCTCCGCCCCCGTCACTTTTGGCTTTTTTCCAGTCAGGGCATAGCTGTTGAAGGCATTAAAAAGTGGATTCTTCCTCAAATCCTTCTGATGTGCTAGTCAAGCATCATGCAGCTTTGAATCTCTGAATAACCTCTGGAACATTTTTTCCCATATATAATCCAAAATATTTTTATCTACACACCAATAAAATGGCTAGTATGTTTTTTTTTTAAATAGACAATGCTGAATGCTGAGTAGGCTTTGGAGCAACTGGAACACTCATCTATTGCTGTTGGGATGAAAAATGGTTAGTCAGTTGGAAAGCAGTTTGGCATTATTTTTAATAAGTTAAATATTCACTTATCATAAATATGTGCCTACCCTTTCTGGTACTAGGTATTTACTCAGTAGAAATATAAATGTGTATCTCTACAAAGATGTGTACATGAATATTGATAATAGTTTACTCACCTGAGCCCAAAACTGGAGACAACTCAAATGTCCATCAGCTGGTCAAAAAATAAAATAAAATAACTGGGGTATTTCCTTAAGTAGCAAAATGCCATGATTAGGCTCTAAAAAGGAATGGATTGCCAACATGTACTCTAACATGAATGAATCTCAAAGTCATTATTCTGAATGAAAGAAGCCAGACTCACAAAGACCCACAGTGTGTGACTGCATGCATCAGTGTCCTGGAACATGCAAACTAGTTTGTAGTGGCAGAAAACAGGTGATCAAGACATAGGCTTGTAGGGCGGGATGGTCTGCACAAATCGTGGGATCTGAGAAGCAGTGGAAACATTCTGCATCTTGATTGTGGATGTTCCTACAGGTGGATAAATCTCTTAAAGTTCATTGAATCTACACTTTAAATAGATGAGTTTATTGTACATAATTTATACCTCAATAAGGATGATATAAAATATTTTTAGCTGTATTATGTGTTTATTTTTAAGACTGACTTCACTTGTGACTGAGCTGGATGTAGTTTTGTTTTGTTTTGTTTTTTGATAAGTTGCTTCTCTTACCATCTGCTTTAGGGATTTCTTTTAAAAATTGGTCCTGTGATGAAATCTTGTAGAGGATCAATATTCACATAAGATGGAATATTTTAAAAGACCAAGCTAAGCAGAAATCTTAATGTGTTAAATTTAACAATACAGAAAGATAGGTAGTGTTATCCCAAACTTTACAGATAGTAAACCCATGGCTCAGGACACTAAGCCATGATACATGGCTCATGATACACTGATTCCTAATGCAGGTCAGATTTGAACCTAAAGATATTTGACTCTAAGCTTCTCTAAGCTTAGATTTCTCTACCTCTCCAGGATGTCCTCTCACACACACCCATCCCCCCATTAAACTGATACTTAGTTTGGGAGTAATTAACTCTAAAACATCATTATGTCTCAGGTGGATCTTTCAGTATCTCAGATGGATTCAGGTTTTACATTGGGCCAGAGATCATTAGGCATTTTTGAAGTTTATCAGTATTACAACTCTTGTGGGTAAAAGTCTCAGATGATATGAAATTTAGGGATATTTTTCTTTTATGAAGTTGCTTTGTAAACATTTTTACTGTGATAGCACCTTGTTATGATTTGTCGGTATTTCTTGATTTCTATGGTTTTATTACAGGGAGTTCATGTAGATGGTCATGAGATTAAAATGAATGTGTTTCTGCAAGTGATTTTTTTTTGCGAGTGATTTTTAAACCATTCTTTGGTGATATGATTTACCGTGTCTGGTGCAAGCATCTAAACGAATTCTCATCCCACGGGTGATGCTAATGCTTCTCTTCTTCTCTGTTGTAGGTCGTTCGATATTTGGCTGGTTGTGGACTGCAGAGTTGCCAGATGCTAGTGTCAAAGGGTTATCCAGACATTGGGTGGAATCCAGTTGAAGGAGAGAGATATCTTGACTTTCTCAGATTTGCTGTCTTCTGTAATGGTAGGATGAATCTTGTAGGGTCTTTTAAAAACATTATTTTAAAACTAAAAAAAAAAAAGAAGAAGGTGCAAAATAATGAGGCATCCCAGCATTTTCATGAAGGAAGTAAATAGTAGTAAAGAAATTGACTATTTTGTAATCATTAAGTTTTTTCACAGTAATCATTTATTTTAAAATATTTATTTTGATACATGCTAGGCTTTCATTATTAAAAATTTTAGGCACTTAGATTCTTGTTCTTTCTCTCATTAGACTCTAATAATAGCTAGGATCTTCACTCTGTGTAACAAATTAACAAAAATAAATAGTTTCTGTCTCTATCATGCTTTTATTTACTTTGAAAATGTTAAGTGAAAGAAAAGAGCTTTCCTGTGTTCTTTGTACAGAACCCTAGTCATTTGGATTCGACTTTGGCTCTGCTACTGCCTTATTTGATTTTAGTTAATTTTCTTCAAATGTAAATGAATTAGTATAACGTTTCCTCTGAACTTCCATGTAGTCAATGCTTGTTTGCTCCTGTTTCCCATTTGATCCTAGGGGAAAGCGTGGAGGAGAATGCAAATGTTGTGGTGAGATTGCTCATTCGGAGGCCTGAGTGTTTCGGCCCTGCCTTGCGGGGGGAAGGTGGGAACGGCCTGCTTGCAGCCATGGAGGAAGCCATAAAAATCGCCGAGGACCCCTCTCGGGATGGCCCCTCACCAACCACCGGGTCCAGCAAAACCCCGTAGGTCAAATGTGCACGCTCTTAAAGTTCAGTGATACTCCTTGGCTTTTAGTTCTACAAAATAAATTTTTGTTATCTTAATTGTAGTATAATACTCCAGTACTCAGGATTTCTGCCCCTGAAAATCAAATGTGTTTTGGGAGAAGGGATGAGCAAAGAGACATCAGGAATATTGTGTGGATTTAGTAAAAAGAAATTGAGATTGTAGGAGATGTATTCTGTGAATTTTCTTAAGGCTCTATGGCATAGTGAGTTATTAAAAGATGACAGATGAGCCTTTGAAGTTAGAGTTTACTGGGAGGATAGCTGGAATGAGTTTTCATGATAATTGTAAGTGAGAAAGAGGCCTTGAGCAAGAGGGTGGGGACTTAATTAAACTGGTGTATTGGCAAAGTAAAGAAAAGGGGATGTTGTCATTTTGAGGAATAAAGTGCTTTGTTTAGGTCTTGGTGATAATAATGGGAGACAGTGACTAACTTGCATTTCTCCATAGTATATGTTGTTAACTCAGTTCCAGCAATAAGTTCACCCAGGCATATTGCGCCCCCCCCCCCTTTTTTTTGCCACATCACATGACATTTGGGATCTTAGTTCCCCAGCTAGAGATGGAACCTGTCCCCTCCTGCCGTTGAAGTGTGGTGTCTTCATGACTGGACCACCAGGGAAGTTCCAGCTTCCTGTTCTTTTAATCTGTGGAGCTGAGTGTCCTGCTTGGGGGACATGTAACCACACTGCTAGCACTGTTGGTAGAGATATAACATAAGGCTTAGTGGAGGAAAATTTCCAAGAAGAGAAGTTGTCCTGCAAATCCTGTTTCTCCCACTTAAAGATCTGGGATAAGTGTTCCATTCACTCTAAGACGAGGGTTCCAGGATGGGAGCACTCCAAAAGCATGTTATGTATTTATCAGTTAGTTGTTGACGAACTAGGGATCCCTTAGTTTTTCTGAGTGGTAGAATGTACATCAAGAGCTTGCTGGTCAAGTATCACATGGGTGGGTGTGCACTTGAGAGCTTTGAAGACAGCCTTGCAGGCCAGGAACAATATTGTCAACAAGTCTTCCTGTCACTCTGCAGACCATTAAGTCCAGATGAGGCAGCTGTCTGCCAGGCCTCCAAAGGGAAGAATGAGATGATCTTCCAGGGCCATCCAGATTTCTCTCTCATCAATGAGATGATGAAATATTTATGTTTTTCTTGTCATATTACTTGGGAGTGGGTGGTGGGGCAGAGTAAACAAAGGTAGGTAAATGAAATCACGTTTATGAAGTACTCTGGGAAAATCACTATTCTGGAAGTCTTGTAGGACAGATCTTTATCATCCTTTCTTTAATTGTGTGTTGTATAGAAAATCAAATTTACCAATTTCATCCATCAATTATTTTCTTTGTTAATATCCTCTTTGCCAGTAGAAATAAGCTGATGCCATCAAATTAACAAATCCACTTTTTCCTTTCAAAGGATGTTTAATATTAAAGTTCCCACACGTGTGTTCTTGGTGATAAAATCTCAAATAAGATCTTTAGCCCATTTTTTTCTTTTAGAAATGACAAGCTGTATATTAAACATATATGTGAAAAGTGTCAGAGGAGGCAGAACTAATTACCATACTGGTCCCTTTCCTTTGAGAAGTATGTAATAAATGTGAAATGTTACTTTATTATCCTGTTTGCTTCCCTTTGTTTCTTTTGAAAAATCCATGAAAGTGATACAGACGAGGAAGAGGATGACACCATCCACATGGGAAATGCCATCATGACCTTCTATGCAGCTTTAATTGACCTGTTAGGACGCTGTGCTCCTGAGATGCATGTAAGTGTCTTGGAGTCCAGGAGCAGCAATCCTGGCGTATCTGTCTCTGTTAAGAGACCCATCACTGACAAAGAGCACAAAACATGCAAAACCAGTCATCTTCATGCTCCATTAAAAATGATAGCTGCAGCATAATTGCTGAACAAGTGTTTGTTTAGTTGGAAATACCTTGGTTATAAAAATTAGTAGTGAGATTTCAGTATGATTCATTAATAGAATAGTCAGTTTCTAATATATCTCTCAAACTCATATAAGACTTCCCACACTCTAAGAGGGAAAGAACATATTTTTTTCTATATAATGTCCTTTCCTATTTTAGTGTATGCATAAAGCACTGCTCCTCTCAAGAATTATTTCTTTGCTATATAGTATTTAGTCCTTTTGAAGCTATGGAGCTGCTATGAGCTGACCACTTTTTTAAGGGGAAGTGGGAATACGAGCAGTTTAGGGGAAAGGAAAGAGCTGTTGATTAGTATTTTCATAAACTTTCTGACCAAAATGTAATTGAAGTTTGTGGACTGATTCTCTGTGATACATTCTGATATTTTATACTTTTTTCTGTTTTTCTCCATTCTATTAATTTTAAAAATGCCAGCCAGGGTCCATGAAATTAGCTTCATGATCTGTTGATGGGTGGGAAACAACCAGAGTTTGTAGCAGATGGACCAGTGCTATGGAGGAAGGCAAATATACTTCTGACTGCTCTGAGCATGAAGCCAGAATGCCTGTTAAATCACCTTTCTCCCTACCCTTCAAATCTTTGGTTTCGAGGGGACTTTGTTTCTGTCTTTTTTCTCTCATACCCATAAGTTAAAACTTTCTTGCTTTCTGGATGTAATCTTTTGTTGTGAATAGAGAGGAATCACAGTGTGAAGAAATATTAGAATGTTAGAAAACCTGGAGTCTGATTTTTTTGTATGAACTTGCTGCCAGTGAGGTTTTCATTATAGTAAATGGGACTTGATTGTTAAAAAATTGTGTGTTGGGAGTGATTTCAGACAAAACCTTTATGCTGACAATATGTGTTCTTTCCCTATTAAAGTAGTTGATCAAAGGAATCACAAGAGAAATAATACTAGTAAATAGAAGATTCTTGTTCTGCTATATTAAAGGGGAAAAAAAAACTAAATGACTCAATAAGGGACTAATCTAGCCAGTGAAGGTCTGACACAGTGGTCCCCAACCTTTTTGACACCAGGGACGGGTTTCATGGAAGACACTTTCTCCATGGATTGGGAAGAGAGGGATGGTTTGGGAATGATTCAGGTTCATTGCATTTATTGTACACTTTATTTCTATTATTATTACATTGTGATATATAATGAAATAATTATACAACTTACCATAATGCAGAATCAGTGGGAGCTTTGAACTGGTTCTCCTGCAGCTAGACAGTCCCATCCTGGGGTCATGGGAGACAGTGACACCTAAAGTGAGTAATGAGGAGCAAGTGTAAATACAGATGAAACTTCGCTGGCTTGCCCCTCCTCTCACCTCCTGCCATGCAGCTCAGTTTCTAACACACCAGTAGAAGATTGGGGACGCCAGGTCTAACAGACCTGCTAGCATCCATGTTCATCATTTTCCCTCATTAGTAACCCATTCCTGGGAGAAATCAGTGTAGACTACAGGTACAGATACAGTTACATTTTCATCACAAAACAAGGAAGAGACTAAAGAAGTCATAAATATTAGTATGTGTTCAGAGTCTAGAGATAATAATTTTTCCCTTTGCATGGTTGCTCTTTTTATGGATAGATATGTCTGTGTAATTCTGGGGGGTAAGCATTCACAGACTTATCAGGCTTAAAATACTGGGTTGGCCAAAAAGTTCATTTGGGTTTTTCTGTAAGATGGTATGGAAAAATCCAAGTGAACTTTTTTTGGCTGATCCAGTACTTTTATACCCCAAAGAGGATAAAAGCTATTGTTCTAATGGAGGTACCTGTTGGCCTAGATGGCAATATATGATGCGTGTGTGCTAAAGTCAATGAAACTGATGTGGGCAAGTAAATATCTATCTGTAAGCCTGAAGTGGCAATTTCCAAGAGAGGTTCAACTTCATTGTTTATTTTTCATTAAATTTTTAAAACTAAAGTATAATTACTTCACAATATTATATTAGTTTCACATGTGCAACGTAGTAATTCAAGATTGTTATAGGTTACACTCTAAAGTTATTAGAAAATACTGGCTGTATTCTCTGTGCTATACAATATATCCTTGTATCTTATTTATTTTATATATAACAATTTTATCTCTTAATTCCCTAATGCTGTCTTGTCCCTCCACCCTTCTCTCTGCCATTGGTATCCACTGGTTTTTTTCTCTGTAACTGTGGTCTGTTTCTGTTTTTGTCACATTTGTTCATTTGTGTTTTTTGTAGATTCCACATACAATGATAATATACAATATTTGTATTTCTTTGTCTGACTCATTTCACTAAGGATAATACACTCTAGAGTATCCAGGGTATATATAATATATAATAATAATACAATAATATATCATATACATATGATTTATTATATGTGTGTATATATATATATACACACACACACNTATCTTCCATTCTTTGTAATTCAGTAGGACATTGGATGACGTGATGGTGGCTCAGATGGCAAAGAATCCGTCTGCGGTGCAGGATACCTGGGTCCGATCCCTGGGTTGGGAAGATCCCTGGAGGAGGGCATGGCAACCCACTCTCCTGTTCTGGCCTGGAGAATCCCCATGGACAGAGGAGCCTGGCGGGCTGTAGTCTGTGGCATCAGAAAGAGTCAGACATGCCTGAGTGACTGAGCACAGGACGTTGGATGATGTGTTGTTTTCAATAATGTCATCGTGCTCACAGTTTCTTTCCTTGCAGCATAGTACAGTTACATGTTTCTTTTAAAAAATTAACCATGAAGTACAGTATTTTATAAAATATTTTTTGTAGTCCCCGTTTTTAAACAGCTATGTTTCCAATGGGATTTTATTCTTTTTCATGTGACATTGCAGTTTCCCGAGAAGAAGTCGACACCTCAGCTGTCTGTCTAATATCCCTCCTGGAGTTCTTTGGTCCTCCATTCTTCACTGTCTTTCTTGACAGCAATACTTTAATTCACTGTTTTTGATTGTTTTCATGGACATTTTCTTTCTGTTTTTTTAAAGATTTTTTTTTGGTATGGACCATTTTTAAAGTATTTATTAAACTTGTTACAGTATTGCTTCTGTTGTTTATGTTTTGGGTTTTTGGCCATGAGGCATACAGGATCTTAGCTCTCTGACCAGGGACTGAACCTGCACCCTCTGCATTGGAAGGTGAAGTCTTAACCACTGGACTACCAGGGTAGTCCCATTCGTGGTCACTTTTTTATAATGCTTTTTTCCCCCCTAAAACAATGGTCATAGCTTTTTACTTAGGGATTTAAAAATCCCCAGTGTGTTCAAAGAAGTAGGCTTTTTAAGACTAAGGAGAACATATTTTAAAAAGATTTCTTTTTCCCTAGTTTGACCCAACATTTGTTATTCTTCTACAACATGTAATTTTTGGTTTAGAAACTGCTTATGATTAGTTTACAGTATTAATTCAAAAGCGTACAAAATAAAATCAACAGACTCTGCATATAAATACCCAGAAGCAATGGCCCCTCGTGCCCGTGCCCCTGCCCCGGTCTAGGGAGAAGATGGGAGGGGGCAGCTCAGGAGGGATGGAGTGATAAGGAGGGGTTGGTAATAAGGGCCCAGCCTTCTCTCACACTGAGCCTCTGTCATGCCCCAGACTATAGCAGAAATGGCACATGGCTTGGGCTCAAGGCCTAATTCCCTGTTAGTATTATAATTCACTCTGCCTAACATAAGAAGATATAAGCAGTTACTGAAGGCACCTAAAAGATAAGTTAGATCCAAATTATACTTCATTTTCCCTTATTCCAATTGGAGTTTTGTTCAGTTTTAAAGACTTTATTGGATATTGTTGCATATGTCATTTAAAAAAATGTTTATTTTTTAAATTTTTTTATTTTTTTGAGTTTTATTTTTTTTTTCCCATTTATTTTTATTAGTTGGAGGCTAATTACTTTACATCATTACAGTAGTTTTTGTCATACATTGAAATGAATTAGCCATGGATTTACATGTATTCCCCATCCCGGTCCCCCCTCCCACCTCC